AAAGCACGGGGCAAGATTACAGGGGCGTATAGAGCAAGAACCGACATGGCACGCAGCGCGCGACGGGGCGACACGGCGCGCGGCTTTACGATCCTTACTCCTTTTTTATTTACTCACTCGAGTCAACCAGTTTGGTATTAGCATTCTCGCGCACATTTTTATACGTGTAGACTCGTGCTCCGCGCTTCCAGTCTATTATGCCCTCTCTCTCTCTTTCCCTCGTACTTTAGCAAACGCGATCCTCAGATTTCCTTAGCCCAAGAGCGCGACGCTTGTCGTCGCCAGAGCTTCTCTCTTTCTTTCTTTCTCTCTCTCTCTCTCTCTCCACTGAAAACAAGCTTCCATTGTCTTATCCACACGGATCCCTTTTGGCCTGTATTCCCCCTGAAGAGTGCAGAGAGTAGCCCCACAACTATCCTCTCTCTCTCTCTCTCTTTCTCTCTCATATTCTTGGCTGTCTCCGCGCGCATAGTCCGGAGAGCTGCTCTTGCTACACAAAGATGCGTGTGTATTGCGTATTTGCGCGAACGAACCTGCACGTACTTGCATATACAAGCGTGGCTCGTGCCCGTGTGTGTGTGTGTGTGTGTGCAAACGGCGGCGGCGATGCAGACAAGCTTGCTCACAAGCAAGCACACAACTAGCTTACTCTCGAGATGCTCAGCGGCACTTGGTCTCATGGTGGTGCCTATATTGGTATGCGCGAGCGTCTTCGTGTATATATATGCGTTCGAATGTGTGCGAGGCTAGCCGGGACGCGTATCCTCTCACCCATCCTCTGACTCGTGAGAGAGTGAAAGAGAGAAGGTGTAAGAAAAAAATGCCGAGAGTTAGCAGGCGTACACGGAGCAGCGACGTTTTTCTCACGTATATAGCTGCCGTGCCGCTGTAGTCGCCGCCGGCACACAGAGACCTCAACACATACGCAATGGCACACACACGCAGCACACATACACAGCTCGAGAGCGACGAGAGAGAGATATAGAGAGACCTGACTCTGCAGCTCCTGCGCTTGGCTGGAGCTGTATCATAGCTGGTCATCAAAGAGCCCAGCAAAAGATGCAGAGATACTCCTCTTATATCGAACTTGTTGCTTCGCACAGCTCGTTGTGTGTGCGCCTGCCTGCCTGGCTATGTTTGTACCTATGCAAAAGCCCGACACTTTCGATTAAAGAGCCGATTTTTCGACGACGACGACGCTACTCTTCAACTTAATAAATTATTAATGAACCCTGTTGGCTGGGTGCCATGCTGCTCAGCGACCGATGCTTTCTCGGAACGGCCCGAAACACATACGCACACACGGCAACGAGCGAAAGGAAGAAGCCCGCCGCAGTTTGCATCTCCGCTCGCGCGCGCATATTCTTTCATCCTGGCGTACACACATGATGCGCGCCGCATGTTATAATATATATAAAAAAGCGAGAGAGAGCCAGAGAGGCCGCGCGCGCGCGCGCTAACAGACCGACACTTTTACAAGCTCCTAATATATACAAAAGTCAGAAGAGATCCGCGCTTTACATATATAATTACACTTTTACCCCGTGCCCCCGTGCCTTCTTACCTAGGCGGATCGCGCCTAAATCATCGAAAAAACAAACTGCGCGGTTCCTCGGGATCGGAATGCTACCGGTGCCTCAGTTATATTGGCTGCTACCATAAATTTGATTTGTGCGCCAATTTGGCTCACGTTTGCGATTCTAATTCAAAAATTTACTTTTTCATGTCGAAATGCCGTTGAACATTTGAAATTATTATTCTAAAAGTGTACGATAATAACAATCAGACGCGATCAAATATTTTTCCTTGCGCAATTTAAATCATTAAAATGCAAGATATACTTGTTTTGAAAGAAGTAACAAAATTGTTCAAGTAATTCGTGGAATGAATTTTGAAGACGAAAAACGCAAAGGCATCGTGAACATTAAATTTTAATTTGAACTAGGTGCACGCCAACTCTATAAATGTTTTGTTTTTTATGAAAGTGCGGTAGCATAGTAAAAGCAGCTCTCGCAGTCTGCGTTGCCTCTCGTAACAGTATGACCCCTGAAAAATAAGTAGGTAGTTGATGCAGAGACAAAGGAATAAACGTGCCGAATGGCTCGTTTGTGAGTTTCTGCTGCTGCTGCGTCAGGGTCTCGGCACACGGCTGCACAGCACAGGACCCACATAGCCGCGCGCGGCGTCAGCGCGCAGCAGCAAAGGGCGAAGTTAAGCCGAAAGATACGAAGAGGAGTCGAGCCGAGCGAGCGAGCAAGAGAGAGAGAGAGAGAGAGAGAGAGAGAGAGAAAGAGAAGGTGAAAAACGTATTCAAAAGGTATGCGAAAAGAAAGAAGAATAAGAAAAGCTGAAACCAAGACAGTTGGTGCGGCGGTGGCGGTGGCGGTGGCGGCGGCGGCACTGCCCGAAGAGGGAGAACGCGAAAGAAGGGAGAGCAATAAGCCATTCCACTTATATGTTGCCTTGGATTCAATTAACTCTCCATCTTCTGAGTGCGCGTGGAGCAGAATATCTCTCCCTTCCTCCTCATCGCTCCTTATCTCTCTGTCTTTCTCTTATTCGCTCCTTTTTTACCTTCTCTCTCGAGAGCATTTTGAAAGCAACTCTGATTCTGCGGACTCTCCGCTACCTTAGCAGCAGCAGCCGCAATGCTTTTTCAACCGAGACTGTACGCACGCGTTAAAACCGCTGCCGCGACCCATGCAATTGCATTTACGCGCAGGCACGAATACAACGGCGGGAAAAAAGTTGCTCTTAATTTTTCTTTCTTTCTACAAGCGGACAACAGATAGAATTAAAGATTTTCTTATGTCATTTAATTTGAAGCAATACAGCCTCGTAAAAGGCGAGTATATAGTATTTGCCAGAGCGTGCTCCTCGATAAGCGTAAAGGTGAACTTAAATTCAAAGAGTTTGTTCCGTAAAACTTGATTTTATTGTAAATAATCTATTTTTAAATTTATGAAAATAAATTAAGAAACATGCAAATCCTATTTTATGTATATCTTAACAACTAAGAGTTTAAAATTCGCGAATACAATACAATTTCTATTTTTCTACAACTTTACAAGCTAGGAACCACTGCATCCCTCGTGCTGTACCTTCGACGAGACATCTGCAGTTAGTACTATTTTTTTTTACCAAAAGTAACGTGACTGTTTAACTCATACATACAAACACACATACATACATACAGACATACATACACATGCCACCTTTTATAAAGCGTTATTAAGCTCTCTAAATAAAAAAAATATATATTAGTCAAATAAAACTTGATGATAAGCGAACTTGATGATTAAATATGATTGAAATCAAACCTTTTTCAGCTAAACGAAAGGAACAAATGAGACCGGTCTTCGGGGCTGATTAATTGTTGGGCCCCCTACGTAAATAGCCTCTAAGTCTGTCCCAACTTCTCCTTGTCCTACGTGGTATAAATCTAATGATTTATTGTCACAGTATAAAGTTTTAACTGGTCCTCTCCAATTGTTAAAATCACAAACAAATTGATTATATGACGAATCTGGTTCATTCAGAGAAAAATTCGTCATATTATTTTTACGTTCATGGTAAATACCAGTAACGGTATCAAAATCAATTTGGCTCCCGATTTCTTGAGTCTCCACCAAGAGCAACTGGATTATTTCAAGTTCTCCGTTGACAGAGAAACTGAATCGAACGAATTTTGGTGGGTCATAATATTGGCTTGGAAATTTTACAACTACAGCAACAGCCATGGTAGATATTTTTGATCTTCCTTCGTAAGCGTGAAATATGATACTAATTACAAATAGATTTTCGTTAAACACGCAACACATAATAACGATATACCCTAGTCGTAAATGTTCGCTCGTTATTATAATTATTTTATTATTATTTGAAACGAAACTTAAGTTTTGTGTATACCGGATTTTGATATTCGTAAATAATTTTAAAAACAATTAAACGCCGGCACTTTACGAAAGCTTTATAATAATAATTCATTTGAAAACATTTTCAGCGTCCCAATAATAAAAATGAGTCAATTCATGAGACATTATGAGAAATATTTATGATGCATTTCAGATATCTCATGTTTAACAATATCATCAATTTATATTTCTATGCTTTCGAAAGTGAGCGCATAATCTATAGAGCGATTTCTATTCGTAATAATTTTTTTACGAATCGTTACGTTATTAGCTTTATTTCAGTTCTAGGATGAAGAATATTTTGAGACCAGTACACTCAATACTTACTTGTACGAAAAGAAAATTAATTTAACAATTGAATTGTTCTTTTTGTTTGTCCTTGAAAACTGCGAAAATCTGGTTGTATTGACTTTATATTCAAAATATACGATTGCAAAGTTATTGGGCAATTAAATTATTTCAATTTTTAATTATTGTCAAAAAAAAATAATACTTCAATGTCATAAAAAATGAGCATGTGGGATAAATTATATACGAAATTTACAAAATGAAAATAAGTCAAGGCATTATTGTCTCGTTGAAAATCTTAAACTCAAGTTCCAATTTAACATGATAAGGCAAGGCAGCGTATACAGTTATCGACGGTGAAAAGTAAAGTGTTACCGATATTACAACTTTGTACTACATGTAGATAAATTAAAACTCCCGTGGGTACTTTAAACATTAATAAATAAAAAAAATTATACTCGTCATATATTGAGAAGTTGACAACTGAATGAGATTTTGAATACTTTGATTAATGCAAAAAATATTTTATTGCAAAAAAGTTTTTTTTACAATACTATCTATTTTATTTAAATTTATGTCTATCAAAAAATAAATTTCAACTGATTCTTAAAAAAACAATAAAAAACGGAGTTACACAAAAATAGAGACGTAACTTTTTCAAAGTACATGTTTTTCTATTCTACAACTTGACGTGATACGCTAATAGATAACTTGAGTATTCTTGAATTGTTGACGTATTTGTTGAAGAATAAGAGCATTTTGATGACGTTCAAAGCACTTTTGGAATTAAATTGTATATGTTATAAAATTTTGATAACTTTTGAGGGAATTATTCTAAAATTGATATTTCACTAGAAATGATTTTATAGTAAACCATTGTCTGTAATTCATTTAAATTTGACAAAAAGTTTTGTTATTGGCATATGTAATTTTCGATTAAACAATTGCCTACGAAAAATTTGGCTAAAATAAAAAAGATTAAATCTTATCTATTATTACAAACTTTAGATTCATAACGAACAATTTAATATGAAACAATTTTTTCAAATATTGAATTGTCAGTATATTAGAACTATTATAGAACTAACTGATTTCCTAATTGTTTTTTCTACTGCTCGATCTAGTAGTCCTTGTGTTAGTTTTCTTTTTGGGTTTTTCCGCGGCTTTTGCATATTTATTTATGAGAGAATCAAAAAAGTTATTAGATTCTGCAGCTCTTGCCTTATTTTTATTTATAATGGAAAGAGCCAAGTCGTCTCCGAAATCTTCTTTTTCAATTTTTCGCATTTTATCTAAATCTTCAGCTGCTTTAGCTTCTTGCTCCCACTGAAACATTACAATTAAAATGAAATTTAATGAACATTCAAAAAATGGCATAATGTATAAGATAACATTATTGAAAAAATCTATATTTTTTTTTAATCATTTATACCGATATATTTCAAGATTTTAAAAACTATTTAACAAAATAAGATAAATGAGTTTATTGTATTGAAATCATTACTAATTGCTAGTACTTATAGGTAACTGTATTTTAGAAAGATGTTTTTTACGTAATATAATTACACATTATCTACTTTTTAAAGCTTTCCCATATTACATTTCATTTTACAAACGGGAATTAAAAATATACTATTTATAAACTTTAATCGTTGTTGACTGATATTTAGTTAGTAAACATTTATAGAAAGAGAGCACTAGCAATATAGGGCAGCTAGAAGACTGCGTTTACTCAAAGTCTTACATTGACTTGAAGATTTATTCCCAAGAATCCAGCATAATTAATTTATATGAGCAAGGAGAACAATGAATGAAACTAGCTAAAAAAGCACAGATAGTCAAGGATTCATGTAAAATTTCATTCAAGTTAATCAGCGAATAAACTTTAAAAATTATATTAAAAATTTTAGAAATTCAAAGTTTTTTATCGAGATAAATTGAAGTGTATCACTCAAGATTATTTCATGCATCAATAAAACCGGTAAGTTGTAGAGGCAATCTCAACTTTCGGCACATAAACTCTTTGGAGCCAGCCCGAAAAGTAAGTTATACGACTTGTGCGTCGTCGCAAGTACAAATTTTACTAGCTGGGCGAACAAAAAGAGGCGGCAAAAGCGATAGACTCGACCTGGTATTTGTATATTTCTGGCAAAGATTTGATGTACATACGCTATACATGTGACCGAGAAAAGCTTCTCGGTTCGCTACTCGGACGTGTGGTGAGAGAATTGCGAAATTATGCCAATAGACAGAAGCTGCGACGACTCGTGCGCGCGTAGCGATGATAAAGGCGATAAAGATTGAGATTTTCACACGTTTCCTTTCAATTGCTTGTTCCTTGCAAAGACGATCTGTGTAGCAGTAGGCGATTTAAATACCAATTGCGTAGCAATTTATTAAGTATGCTCTATTTACAACGATACGGTCTGGGTGTAATTTGAAACGTGTTTGCTGGACGATAGGTAGTAGTAGCATTTCTTAACTTTCGCACTAATTCAATTGCCTTCATTTAAATTATGTGAAAACATGAAAGCATTGATTGATAATTGAATTTTTATTATTTTATTTAAATTTTTGTCTGTATAAAATATAAATTGAGAGATCCAAATTATGAATAGATTCATCGCGCAGTTGAATGCTCAATTAAACAAAATATACCGCGTGACTCGAAAAACAAATGGTTCATTTGTATCTTGCATAACTTACGTCGGTTAACTGGCTTGTTCTATAAACCAATAAATTCTGCGGCAGAAATAATAAAAATTTCAATCTAGAAATAAATAGATCTCAGTTGCGTAGGTGTACTTTAATGTCGATGCTTTAAAAGGTTCAAGATAATAGTTTGAATGAACTAGATTTATAATTCCTCCAGAACAGAAATATGTATCTAATCACCTTGAGACTCAAGAGCACCGGAAAATCTTCTATTCTCCACTGGGTTACATAAAATAAGTTTTAAAATTATGGAAATAATTATTCTAGAAAAATGAATCGATGAAAATAATTAGAAGTATAAATGTTAGATTTTAGTTTAAAGTTAATTTTTGAAAAAGAAAGATAATTGATTAATAAAAAAGCTAATTTCAAATACTTGTTATTATTTTCATACGATATATGCTATGTATGCAAGTTAAGTTCGATGGTTCGATTATTTATTGTCATAAGACAAAATATATTTTTGTAAATGCAATTTATTGGTCATCGTACGCATATCGATGATTGGATTCAATGAACTCAAATGAAGCGGCAACAGGATACGTCTACAATGATCAATTTCAATGTTATTGAAACTGGCAAGCCAACTTTCAGATATATACAGATTGAAACGATAATATTTTCTCTCGATCATTGTTTTAGGACAGAAAGAGAGAGAGAGATAGTATACAAATTTCCGAGAAGATCGATGGAAAAAGAATCACAGTTTATAGTTGTAGAGATAGAGATACTATGTTACTGAGCTTCTCGGTAAATATTATATGTATTGAAAACATAAAGGAAAATTCAAAGGCTGAAAATAAAGTTAGCCGCGAAGTGTTTGAAGCAGTGCAGTGCGTCGGTGGGTTTTGGCTATCGGGAATTCGCCCCGTTGATTCGCCAGAAGCTCTTACGCACACGTAAATACAAGAAAAGCGCGCTATAGTAAACGCGCGCTTGAAGCAAGCAGCAGAACTCCGCAACGAGATTGAACTAATCCACTTGCGCGCCTATCCGCGCGGAGCAATGAATTAAAGTCGGTAGGTTGGGCGCGATGCATATTATTAGTGGATGATGCACGAGGAAATAAGAAGTGCACGAGGAACTCGTGTGGCCCAGCCCTTTAGAAAAACGAGTTCGTACGCTTCGTCCGACCTATATAATCCCCCGACGCGTTGGAAGTTTCTGAAATTAAAGGCGTGAAATTCGACGCGGATAGAGGTAGAAAAGAATAATAAAAAGCTCGACTTATGAGATAGAGGAAAATATATATATAGCACTACATTTGGTTTGTTAGGCATGGCTATACAGTCTTTCGATTGGAATCAATGGTTTCTATAGTACATGTATATAAGCCACGCCGACTCTGCAGCACGTCGAATTTCACTCACCAAGACGAACGAATGACGTGAACTAAATGAAGAAAGCTGACCGTATAATAAATATTGGCCGCGTGGCTATAGTTCGCGCTTCGAGAAAAAAAAATCGGAGCGCACTTTCCGTTATACGAACGATGCATTAGATATACTTGCAACGCGTGCGCATATGGGCATCTCTCGTGCGCAGCATGACAAAGTGAGAGTGACGTCGTCGCGGTCGCGCCGATGCCGATCTCGCGGATTTATAATCTATAATGCACATTGCGCGCACACTTGCACGGACGCGCGCGAGTCTTTCTACATGTATATGTTCACTTGTATCGCGCGTATAGAGCTGGTTCGTCGAACGCAGTGATTATTGTAATGTACTGTATACGAGGGCGCGAAGGATGTATTTTATAGGCTTTTTTTCTGCACGATACGCGTTCGAGTATAAGAGCGACGTATATATATGTCGCGGACGGAGGCACTTGCTCGCGCATCCATGCTGCATCGAGCGCGGATCCGTGTATCGAATCCCACGTAGCTGCATGCGTATCATCCACAGCATGCATACGCGATAGCCCTACGGATGTGAAGTATATCCATATCTATATCACGCGCAGCAATGTTTACGCGATCTGTCTCTCGATGCAGCGGTAGTGGTGGTGGTGGTGGCGGAGTGCGGAGCGAATAAACGCGGCGCGTATATATCCACGATGCGAGACTAACGGCTGCTGCTGCCGCCGCCGCCGCCGCGTGTATATGTACTGTATATGGGGCTATATACATCGATTATATGCGCGCATGGTATAGTGTGCGCGTGCAGGCCGCCGATCAATTTATTATGCAACAATCCCGGAGCGCGAGCGATCGCTCGCTCTCTTGGGTGCGTCACTGTCGAAGAATTCCAATTGCCTCGCGCGAGCGCGGCTATCTCTCTGCCTGATGGCAATGTCTATATCTCTCTCTCTCTCTCTCTCTCTCTCTCCATCTTATACTGTAAACAAGAGTAAGTACAAGGCCCTTTCTTGCTATATCATAAGCTGGTGCGGCTAGCTAGATATCTCCCTCCGCTCGAGAGCAGAGCGCGACTCTGCACGTCTTGCCGTGCGCTGGCGTCGTCGTAGTCGGCATTCGTGCATATTGCTCTTAGCTCTATCATTACAACAATTATTGTTACTATTACTATTGCTCGGGCGAGCGGCAGCGGCGGCGACGGCAGCAGCAGCAGCACACGAGAGCTCCTGCACATACATATATGCGCGCGTTGCGTTGCCCCGTTGCGTGTTTGCGTATGCAAGCGTGCGGTTAATCGCGATGCGCGCCGCGCATGCAACGCCAAAGGCTATTGCCACTTGCGGATCGTCTTCGTATACTCACACACACACACACACACACACACACACACACACACACACACGCACGCACATACGTTACATACGCTGCTAATATTATGGGAGTAGCGTCTGGTTTGCTGAAAACTCTTGGAGCGCGTTATCCTTCATCTGCGCATCAGCGATGAAAATGCGCGCTTCTGCGCGCTGAAAATAATACTGAATTATGTATCTTCGCTCTGCGTGTAGTCTTATAGAGAGATTCTTTATTCGCCGAATGACATTACGATTGCGCGTTTACGTTTGCCGTGCACGTGGGAGTCCAAGTTCGAACAGTTTCTCTCTCTTTTTTTTTTAATGCTCCGACAAGAATGTCAAAGTCAGAGTAAATGATGAAAAGTGAATTCGTAGAAAATTGATCGATGAAATTTCGAAGACAACTTCTCATTTGAAATTTTCATGTTGTCCCTGTGGCTTTGACACTTCCTTAACCTGGTGACTCTCTTATTTATAATAAAGCGTTTTATAACTGTTCATCTTTTTTTTAACTATCTAATTGCACTCTATGAAAAGATATGATCTTTATGAATCTTTCCTTGAAGCTCATATTAAACCTGAATTCAGAGCAAACATCACACCATTTAAGCATACAATTTTGAAATTACTTTTACACTGTGCCTTCAAACTTGATGTATGTAAAAATGATATCAACTTTCAACTATTTAAATAGTGCTAATTAAGCGATACTTACGATTTTACAATGTAAATTACAAAATAAAACAATGAACATAATAGCATTGTTTTACCGGTTCGTCACCGCCTTGCGCTATGGAAGATCAATATCGACATATGCTATTAATAACAAATATCTTGAAACTCATTAGAATAATTATCTTTAAGTATTAGTCTACTGGCGACCAACAGTTACGCAAACTTGAGTAAACTTTTTTATTTTTAAAAAATTTTAAAAGATCGACAAATCAAAGCTAACTCTAAGTTACAGTCATCTCTCGTTACTCTCTCATAATATTAAAAAAGACTATTATTACTCCAATTTGTAATCGTTATGATAAATGTTGGTAGAGAAACGTGTGCTTTTTGATTTAAAAGATCATCTCTAAGAAACTACATGTTTAAAAGTAGATTCAATCGTACAAAAAATAAATCAATTACACGATGTTTTTCTCAAAAGCTCGAAAAGCTCAATGCGATATTGCTCAAATCGTAAAAAAAAACGTCCAAGTATAGATGAAGTTTTGCATTCGCATTAAAATTATTAAGAAATGCTCGTAAAAATGCGAGTCGCTGATGAAAGATCGCGGAGACCTCGATGCTTCGACTCACATATTATACTGTGTGATTATTCGTTTAATAAAAATTGCGCATGAATCGCGTACAGTCGATTCAAGAAACTCGTATTCCAGCATTACGGTACACATAAATTATAATCGACAGAAACTATCTCGGGTATTATAACAACAAATCATTGATAGCTGGCGCCTCGTGCGCTATTGTTCTTGATTGCTGGTACACACGAAAGTCAACCGCATCTATATCAGGACCCGCGCGCGCGCGCGCGCGCAGTTTTCAATATGCTCGAGGCACGCTCGACCTCGAAAGTGGAACTTGCACCGCTAGCCGTGCCGTGTGTAGATGACGTTCGATTTTCATAGATAATGCCAATAAATTTTCGCGGTATCGCGACCGAGTAATCGGAGAAGGAAGAAAGTTTCGACAATTTTCAATTTTGCTTTCATGTACCTCAATCAACTTATTTAGCATCGATTGTAAACAATTTACATTAGAAAGTAAATCTTTTTAATTTTTTTCGTAAACGCAGTGTATACGATTCACCGTGAGTTAGTGAATGAATTCTATAAACAATGGAAGAGCTTAGTCGCGGTACGAGCACTTCTGGTCCACGTAATACGTATCAAGATGTTATATACCGCACGAGGCAAATGGTTGCCACAACGACGACGACGACGACGACGACGACGACGCATAGATGAGAGAGACAGAGACGGAGAACCTCCCGCGCAAATGGGTCTCTCCTTCACTTGCAATTTATCGGACGTTTTCGCAATCGCCGTGACACTCCGAGTTACATGTGTAATACGTGCGCACTGCAGCGCTATATAGTCTAGGCGCGCGCTGCTGCACACCTATACCGCGCCGCAGTCGCCTTCCCTTCTCATCTCCGCGCGCGCGCGCGCGCGTGCCCGAAGGCGCGAGCACACGTACGAGTTTAGACTTTCAAATGGCATTTACTTATACGACGCTGCTGCACTGTAGGAATACAGAGGAGTTCTGCGGCCGAGAGGCCGCGCGCACGCGGTGCACGTTCCGAAACAAACAAGCTCGACTGCTGCTACTGCAGCACTATGCGCGCGTGTCGGCGAGCACAGGCGTTGGTCTTTCTCTTCAGTTTTTCACGATGCGCGTTTCAGACGATCGCATCGATCGATTCATTGCGGAGGGAATTTTATGACGAATGCTATAAAATTTGCAATGTTTGAATTGAATTTTTTATCGCGTTCGACTGCAGCAGAGCTCGTCGTGGAGTTTTTAATTTTGAATATCTTTCGGGCTACCGATTATACAGAGCACGGACAAAAAAGCAACGAGTACCAAAAGAAAAGGGCGGATGTGGAATATACGGTGCAGAGTCCCAAATTTCATTATTCCTATTTTAGTTCTTGGCAATATTTATTTGAATCTATTTCGCTGTGATCTAATACACGTTGGTCGAGCCTCCATATCTGACCCAGCTTTTTCATAACAAACTGTCGACTCGAGCGAGCGCGTGAGAGATAGTTTGATGAGCATGTCATCTTGGCATTTGGGATGCTTTGTATATATCCGAGGCGCGTCTAGCAATAATAAACGATCTCTCTCACTCGACCCGCGCTATATGTATGTGTATACATTCTATAATGCCGTACAGTGGATTATTGCGCACGGCAGCGGCGCCGCCCTCTATACCATTCGGCGCTCGGTCGTCGGAGCTTTTTCTTCAAGCTCGACGCGCGCGAGCTGTCGGGGGGGTTGGCATAAGCTGCATTCGAAAGCTTTATTCGCTCCTACGCGCTATGCACATTCGGGATATATATCGAAGCTGTCTAAAATTGAAAGAGCAATCATTTCTATTATTAATTTTAAACACTTGTTTTTTAAAATCTCAAGTTGTTAAAGCTCGGCATTGTTCTGCTCTCCCGCGGGTTATTAGAATGCGGATGATTCACGAAAAGAATTAAAAGCCATTGGAGCTGTATGAGCAAATCTAAAACTCGTTTCTACCAACTGCACCAGTAGTGCGATCATGAATGCATATTTAAGCGATGGCGTTGTTTTCCCAAGATTTACGGATGAGCTTGCGATTCTGATGCTCTATTACACACTGCAGCCTCGCGTTACCATACATATCGACAGCCAAAATTATTAGACTAACTTATTGCTCGTTCTTAGCACTCGCTCATTCATCATTTTAGAACAAAACGCATAGCTCGAGTGCTGGATCAAAAATAGCCTCAATCATTGGCTTATCATTTGCATATAAAGATGAATTAGACGAGGCGCACTAGAATATATTAATATGAATGTGCTAATGAGCTCGCTGGCGATCGTCGAACGCGAATAATTCACAATGAGCGTTTTTTCCGTCGATTTACCACGTGCTTTTCGAGCAAGAGGAGAAAAAAAGAGTCAACAAAACTGTGGATGACACGATCATCATAAATCTTTGTATTATATACACACATGCATATGTATACGCCAAAGAACGGGCTGATCTTGGCACGAGGATCCGCGCGCGCGCGCACGCGCTAACGTTTGCCTAGCTGCTGCTAGCGTAGCTGCAGCTGCAGCCGTTCGTTTCGTTCAACGTTTGCTCTTGCTCTCCATATGCCTCTGGGCCACTTGGCGAAGGTCGTTACGTAATAAAACTACTGCTACAACTCTATAATGCTCCTATATATACATGTACCTCGAGTTGCGATCGCCCGATGACAATGGGAGCACGGATTATTTTATATACGTATCGCGCAAATATACGCGCACAAGTTTTCCACTCGTGCGTTGGGCGATATGAATATTATACTATAATATGTATGCGCTGCTGCTGCAAGCAATAAAAGATCGACAAGCTGGAACAACGCGAGCGCAGTTTTATATGGCAGAGGCGCGCTCATTGGACTTATAGAAACCTCCTCTGTGCATCGGGTGTTATTTTCCAACTTTTTGAATAATTTAATATTTTGAATTTTTCACTATCGTGTGCGCCATATTCTGCTGTTGACGACATAACTGGGTCGCGCGTGCAATATCTGTGCGTGCATACGAGGGGGTACGTATATAGCTGAATCGTTATAATACGAGTAGAGGCTCCGAGTGGTCATTGACTCGTGTATGTGTGTGTGTGTTGGCTTTCGATGAGACTGTCGCATTTCTGTGTCGTAGTGCCGAGAGGTGAGGTACCGTATTGTATTCTTGAACTTTTATACGTAGAAGAAACTATTTGGTATGTAAAAATATTTCTCATTCGAACTTTTGTCGGATATAAGTGTCGAGCTTGGCAAGTAGCCGACGACGACGTCGACGTCGACGTTATAAGCCGGTGTATATTTGGTAAACAATAAAACTTTCAAGCACGGAAATTCGGATAGGTTTATCGAAAATTCCTACTTGCTTCTTTTCCTTTCTATTTACAAACGGTGATGTAAAGATTATAATCCACACATGGGTCTCGTACAATCCAACGCGTTTTATTGGCTTCGTTATTATTACGCTCGATGAACTTGTAAACTAGACTAAATATTTTACAGACACAAGGTTCTGTAGAGCATCAAGGCTCGGATAGGAGAACGCATTGCGAATCTACGCGCGCACGCAAGCTCACATGTCGCTGAAACATGACATCCTACTTACCCCGTTATTCGGAATTAATAGCCACTCGAGCGAGTGCCACCACGTCGTTTTGTGATCGTTATACGGTCAGCGCCGGTGGAAACTGTCGCCTGAGCGTCGCATTCGTCGCGCGAAAATCATCGAGACGATCGAAAAAGATAATTTGGATGATATTTTAAATTTGCGGTACGAACGGTGTAGACGATTGCATCTACGCGCAGGCACGAATACAACGTCGTCTGGGAAAAAAGTTGCTCTTAATTTGTCTTTCTTTCTACATGCGGACAACAGATAGAAATCAAAGATTTTCTTATGTAACTCAATTTGAAGCAATGTAGCCTCATAATAGGCGAGTATATAATATAAAAGTAGAGGTAAAGTAAGATTCAAAGAGTTTGTTTCGTAAAACTTGATTTTATTGTAAATAATCTTTTTCTTGGATTAAACATCAGCACTCTACGAAAACTTTATAATAAAATTGATTTAAAAAAATGTTCATTGTCCCAATAATAAAAATGATGATAGTAACAGCTTTGCGAGTGTTTTTCTTTGTTCAAACATCAAAACGCTTAAGGAATAAGAACATGTGTCAATTCATGAGGCATTATGTACCACCAATTATTGTGCAAGATGTGTGAAAATTAATACGCAAAAAAACTCTGTAATTAACAACATTTTTGAATTCCATTATGAGACTATATCTAGGTCACTTTTTTCCGAAGAGTTGAGAATAGATCGAGTTAAAAATTACATTTTTAAACCTCTTCAACTTTACAAGTCTATCGTCGTTACTTTTGTTGACTTTCGAAGTCAGTTCGTAGATACATAAGCACAGCAGTGGTATGCAAACAAACCGTCTGTTGAATTATTTCGCAACTTTTAAATCAAATAAGAAAATTGTCCGTTCTTTTTTTTTTCTTAATCGCAGCAAGTAGCGCACATGCGCGGGCATTATTCAAAGGTACGTTAATGAAAAATGCTCGCACTCGTAGACGTATCTGCGTAACCAAAACGCAAATTATTAACACTTATAATAGATAAATACGAGTTGGTCGGGCAGTATGGCTTATTGAAGCGATCGTGTGTATATAGGCGCTCCGATGTTCGATGCAGTCAATATAAAGGCATTTTGCAGCGTGAGTAGTTATAACATCGGCGACAAAATATTCGTTTCAAGTCGCGCGCGGCGCTCGCGCAAATCTGAGAATCGTAGTAAAATTTAATGGTACGTACTGAAGTGCTGGCGCGTTACAGCCGATGCACAAACGAGCGCGATCGGTCGCGAGTTTTTGCAGCATCAAGAGCGAGCGCGAGGCTCGAGCAATCTAGTCCCGCTCGAAACCAAAACTTAACTACAAAAACATCAAAGAGACTATATCAAAAGCTTATGTAAGGGCGATCTCAAGCTGCACAAATGCGAAGATAACGCGCGTTATGTAGCTAGAGCTAATCATCGGCCTGCCAGCAGCAGCAGCAGCCGTAATAATAGTTGTGTCGCTCATCTCTCGCTCGTGTATTTATTCCTTGGGTTTTTTGCTCTTTGAAGGCTTTGCCTCGATTAAACAGCATCATGTCCAACACAGTCTCCCTGGCATTTTTGTTAACGCGAACCAACTGGGTAATAAGATATATAGTACACACTCGTCTTACATACTTATACACTCACAATCCTTCACTTTCTGTGTTTTCCAAGAAAAAGCTTATCATATCATCCTGCTGTTAACAATATAAACTTCTTTTTTTTCATTCATAAATGCCCTGCGCAAGCCTTTTTTTGCCGCGTGTTATAACGTGATACAAAAATATATATCATAATTATATCATGACACATTGAAAGTTATGTCGCACTCCACATAAAAATATACAAGGATATTGTACATTTGTAATGATATAAGTGTAGTACACTAATTAACGTGACTCGCGAATTTAATTACAGTTATTACATCTACTAACTTATTCATCTATAATTTATATTATACACTATGCTCATGCAAAGCTTTTTAATTATTATATATTATATTAATATTATTATATATTAAATTGTGCAAAACATTTAATAAAATATTTGATTATGCGCAACAAGTATTTCACAATTTACTAATTATGATATAAAATATCGATTTATCATTTGGTGCAAAAGAGCTAAAAAATATTGACAAAATGTCCTTTTTCCTTTGTATTGTTCTCTATATTCATTTAATTTAATTTAACATTTACTTTACTTTAACATTTTTTTTAATTGTCAACAACAAACCAGATAATTACCACCAATCCTAGTTTAGGAACCAATGAAATTGTACAAAATGATGGAATTTAAAAAAGCTGTTAATTGTAACATTCTTTAAATTACTTAATTGCAAAAGTAAGATTAAAGTGTTTTCTTATGAATTTTAATTTTTTGTAAAACTTGAACGATTAATACCAGGTTCTAATAGAATTTAATTTACGTTATTATGCTTAAATTTCAACTATGTCGCATGATATTAGCAAAGTTACATTGATCGAATTTAAATATTTTTTATAACATATGTATTTTACAAAATAACTGATTAATGTACTTAAGATATTTGACTCTTTGGCTACTACTCGCTCGCAGTAGTAAACTACAAACATTCATTAATTAATTTAATATATTTTTACGATCATTTCGGAGCAAGCTTAGGCCGATCTTGCATTTACGAGAAGCGATATAGCAGTTCGTTTATCCATTCTCTTGACATAAATTTGAGGAATCAACGCATACCGATTGACCATTCAAACACTGCACAAGTGTATTATGACTGCCTGACTTTTAACGATTTTAAGACGTGTTCCTACATGTCTAAGATTGAAGGAAAAAACAATGGAAAGCGCCTATTGATTGCCGGTACAGGGCTCGCTACTTTTAAATAAATAACGAAGTCTATAAGCTGGCTTTACACTAAATTGAGACTTCCGTACGTCGTTTAAAGATAGCCGCTCGGATCGGAAACGCTACGAGGTCGAATTCGGTTGATCACTTTTCGGTTCAAAACTCGCGCGCACATACACACGCACACACGCATCCCCGCTGCTTTTTTTGAAGCACATTGAAATAAAAATTAATACATTATACATCATAGTGTCGTTCAACAACAATCACGACATCAGCACTAGTAGCAGCAAACAGCAACAGCAGCGGCGGCGAAAGATTTCAACGCTGACAAAACAACAATGCAAGTAACACTATATTTATATACGTATATAATTTATATTATGTATACGAAGGCGCGGCTGGGTATGCACAAGAACTCGAGCCCATGTATATATATGTATAATAAGACACTCGTAAGCGCAGTTTAGCTATGGAATAACATCGAGAACGTGTAATACTGTCGGTGTGTGGAGTTCTTCAGCGGCGACGATCCGACAACAAGCAGAGCAACGAGGGGATGACTAGTGTCAGTGTCCAGGAGGGCAAGCTCCTATAACTCGAGGACTTGTTGGGCGGCTCGGTCGTCAATTTCTGCTGCTGTTGCTGTTGCTGATGACCGGCTATCATGACTTTCATGGTAGTGGTGACGTTGAGAGGGTCGTACATGGTCGGCTTGATCTCGTAGTTACCGGGCGTGCTCGGGCCCCAAGACGGCGGCGGCGGATTGGTCGGCGCTGGTCTCGGCGGCAGAGTCCTCGGGGGCTCGGTGAAATCGGAGAACGACACGACGGGCCCGTGCGTCGTGGGTATCATCGGCGTCGGGCTCGGAGGCGGAAACGAGTGGCCACCCGTGTACGGCCGGGCGACGAAGATCCGATCGATCGGTTGATGCTCCCAGCTGGGATCGGGCTCGAAGTCGATCTCGCGCTCGCGCAGAAAGTCGCGCAGCGCGTTCGGACAGCCGAAGTCCGGATTCTCGTTGACGTAGACGCGCTGGAGCGAGCGCAGACTCGACATGGCCTGCAGGTCGAGGCACTGCAGCTTGTTGCCGGAGAGTCGCAGATCGACGAGGCCGGGCAGCTCGGCGAGCACGTTGCCGTCCAGCCGCTCGATCTCGTTGTAATTGAGATCGAGGAAGGTCAGATAGACGAGGCCCTGGAACCAGGCGGCACGCACCTCGCGCAGCTTGTTGTTGTCGAGGCTCAGCTGCTGGAGATTGCCGAGGTCGCGGAAGGTCCGGTCGTCGATCTCGCCGATGCCGCAGTGCGAGCACGACAGCACGAGCAGATTGTTGGAGAAGCGCGAGAGCAGCGAGCCGTCGAGTCGGCCCACGTTCATCTGGCTGACGCGCAGCTTCTCCACGTTGTTGGGCACCTGGAGCAGGTCGTCGATGGCGCCGCCCTCGCAGCGCCACTCAATTAGGTCGCGATTCTCGACCTCCTGGCAGGCGGCCTCGGCTCGCTGGGCCAGCACCGACACCAGCACCGTCGCCAGCAGCAGCACCAGCAGCTGCTTCATTTTTTCAACGATGCACACACACTTCACACGATCGAACCTTTTTTACTCGGTCAGCTTGCACCGACTCGAAACTTGTGCTTTTTTACGAGGTTCACACTCTGAGACACTCGCGCGGGCGCGCGTATATTACACGAGAGCAGCTGCTGCTTCTCTTCTCGCGCGCGCTCGTATACGCGGATCGGATGCGATGGATGGCACTGGCGCACGGTACAAGTGCACACTGGGTAACTGAGCCAGCCGTGGCCGTCACCCGTTCATTTATTGGCGCGAGCGCCCCTCCACCGGAGCAGCGCCGACGACGCAAGTCTAAGTAAGCGCGCCCGCGTCGACGCCAGCGTATACAATGCACAGCGTATAATGGTGAAGCTCTTGCCTTGGCTGTTGCTGCGCCTATATGCAGGTCTCCGTTTAGTATAGCGCCCGACAGACGTGCTGGGCGAGGTAGAGCTTTTGTGCCCTATAGCTTTTCAGCGCCTCGTGCTGCTGCTTACCCGCACCCCGACGATACTCGGACACTTCTGTGTCCTGCGACTGCTGCAACCATCGTATATATATGCCCCGCACGACACACCTACATGCCAATCGACCCTATACCCTCTTCGTGAACGGTGATTTTTTTTTCGAGCCATTGCGAAGAGAGAAAGAGCTTTCGAACATTCGTGCGCAGTGTCGACTGCAATGCGTATAATACATTTGCGCTCGACTCTCTCCTTCTATGTTTCGAATCACGATACGACTCGATTCATGACTTATCGCAAGCTCTACATCAAGAAATATCCCTCTCGGTGTACACTCTTTATTTTATTCATTTTGCTCGCGACTGTGAAAACTAAATAGTAGGATGAAAATATGGAGCGGATCCATGATTTTACCCCCCGAGAGACTTTCGTGATCGTACTTGCAACGTGTAAACATGCGAGCGAACGTAAACTGACAAGACGTTTTATACCTGGCCGATGAGTTTTCCGCGTTTTCGTATTTTTTACTTAAGAATGTATCGCGTTTCGAGGAAGCCATTTCCTCGACCCGTCGATATCTCTTACACGTCAGACTTTTTTTTCACCCATATAAACTCGAATAAGTGCAAGTATAAACAAGAAAAATTTATGGAATGTCATAGCGGACGAAATGAACTCCTGACCCGTTTTTTTTTCCTAGCGAAAAGTAACTCGAGCGTGTGGCGAGACCCTTTTTAATTGAAAAATCGAGAATACGACAAAAAACAACAACGGATCGACATTCGAGAAATGCGGTTAAATTGTTTCGAAAAAAATTAAGATTCACAAAACAAAACTTGACCAAATACATAGCGGCAATATCACATTCGAAATTCGACGATAGTGTCAAGGACGGTGTATTGCGGGAGAGAAATCAATGTTGTCGGGATATTTCGTGGATGAATCTAGGACTCGAGCTGCTTCGTGCGTTACGAGGTAAGGATTACCCTTTACGACCGGAGATCGAAAAATACAGAGAAAAAATACAATACTACTTTTCGACAAAATACGTACATTTAAAAACTATCCTATTTATTTAATCGTAGCGAGTTGCGTTTATTGAAAAATAAAATGAACAAAAGCAATTCCAACGATATTTTCCTCATTAGTACACATCTCATAGATTTCTCACAGCGGTAAGAAAAATGCAATTTCTGCACGTACTTATCGTGACACTCGAGGAGAAACCAACACATTTGTAAGAGCATTCCTTCTCCACAGATGCGAAGAAAACAATTTTTTCCTTTGTCCCGAAGGAAGAGTATGGTTTTGATTTTTTTGTTTTTATTTGTAAATTGCGTAAGAAATAATACGAATAAATAAGAAAAATCGGGTAAATTATATTCCCACTAATTTCATTATCATTATGAGAAAAGATATTCAATTGAAAGAATATATTTTGCTATTAGAGATCTCTAGCTTAAAAATATTATTTTAAAAACTATTTACACATAGAGTCTCAACTAAAATAAGATGCTAATTTTTGCGACTAGTTTTGAGTTTTTACACGAGATGGTTCTCTACTTCGAAGTAAACTTGATCATCAAAAGATCAATTGATTGTTCAATCCATTTTTCATTACGAAATCAGTAATATTCAATACTTATGAATATGAACAACGCCTCTTTCGTTGCGTTTCGTTACGTCCTCAACTACGTTATATCATATATAAAAGTTATTAAAGTAATAAGGATATTTCTCGAACAGGTTTTCTGCATTTTTTATAGATTCTTTTCTTACAACGCATTTATGAGCTAAAGGAAAAATCATCTGTGCTCTATTCTTATAATATCATTGGTTTCGAAAAATTTTACTTTTGGAAATTTGAATTTGTTTCAAAAGTATTATTATTTCGATTGTAATTAATTTCGAATGTACGTCATTCCGTGCATTATCGCTTGTTTGGCTTATTAAACAAAAATAAGGGGAACAGAACGGGAGTAAGTCAAAAACGATGCGCAAAAAACTTGGCGCAGTTAGTTTATGTAGCGTTAATTCACTCGTTTTTCGTACATATTCAATGTTTACGTAAGAAAGTCAATAAAGTAATGTCATTTATTATAAAAATTAGAAATGGTTGAAAATTTTGATGTATAATATACTTTCTCTCACTATTTTTGATAGTTAATTGTAATTATAAATAGTTGTTTTTAACGCAAGAAGAATTATTTAATTGTTTGACCTTTCTTAATTTTAGTAACGAGATAAGAAATAATTTGAAAAACAAAAATAACATAATTTTCAAAAGTCAATAAAAATGATACTAGATTTATCTGTATTTAACAAACTATCCTTATCTGAAACTTATTTGTTTGTTTCAAGCAATTCAATTAGACAATTTTTAGTGATTACAACTTGCAGCAATATTCAAAATGTTAAAAATTTGTCAGAAATACAATGAAATAAATTTTAAAAATTGTTTTTCTAGATTTAAAAATATGAAGCATCAGTATAATTTATAAAAATGATACTGCAATTAGCTCAAATTCAAAGAGAAAGTAAAACAATTCATCAAATTTTATATTATAAATAATTTTAAAATTATTTGACTAGTTTGACTAGAGATAAAAATCCTAGGGATTTTTTTCTTACTTCATCTACTTAAAAATTAAAATAGTAAAATCCTTATTTTGGAAATTATGCTCAGAATTCGATTGAGTATTATAAAAATGTTATAATGTATACATTACCCTTCTTTTTCTTCTTAATCTCTTTTTCTCATCTTCTTCTGTGAATTGTTTATATTCAGGAACTTCTCCTTTCTCTATGAGATCTCTTATGATGGAATGAAGTCTGGGCTCTTCTTCGCAATTTGTGAAAGGTACTGCTTCAAGAATATAATTCATATCACCTTTACCTAAAAATAAATTAAATTTTTAGAATCATCATTTAAAAAAATTAATTATAAAAAAATTATTATTTACTGTCTAAATAAGCTCTTTTCAGATCTTTAATTTCAGTTTCAGATCCTTTGTAATTTTTTTCATAATTATTTATATCTTGAATTGTGATTTCTTTGAATAATGATCTCCAATAATCTGACCAATTTCTCATAACAACTGATTCACTGTCATCATCAAACTCTCCGGTTTCATCATATATTTTCCTCTTGTCGTTTTCACTTAGGATAGAATGAATTCTTCCCAATACCTTGAATTTTTCAGTTGCTTCTTCTTTAATGTCTTCATCAACTCTATCAGGATGAACCAACAAGGACAATTTATGATATGCTTTTTTGACTGAAATCAAAATCAAAATAATAAATATTGTGTTGTAACAGCAATTGAAAATAGTAAAATTGTTATAAACTGCATTGTCAAATGATACTTTATGCTTATAGTCTATACTTGAATATCAAGTCATATAAAATCAAAGTCTTTAATTAATACAAGGCTACATTTTTAATTATGTTTAGCGTGTAAGATTTATGTAGATCAAAGACATTTTAACATTTGAGTGTTAATAAGTAGTATCAAAGAGGCAATGTTTTTCTTTTGTGTATAGCATCGGAATTTAATCACAAATCAACTTTCCAAAAACCTCTCAATGAAAATTTGTCATGAGAATTTAAAATTTGTTCAGAATTCTGGAATTCATTTTGACTAATGAACTTATCCTGTATTGCAAAATGTGACGTTAAGGTTATGTCAAACTCACTTTGTTTTTCGGTAGCATTTTTCGGAATTTTCATAACATCGTAGAAGTCGCGTGCTCCAAAATACTTCTCGCACAGATCTAACAGTCCCTCGCCCATGATTGAGTTAACTATTTTTCAAAGCCCGTAAAAAAACTCGCAAAGAATTTTGATTTTTGTATCAATAACAAACAGACTTGTAACCGTCGAGCCGAGAATGTCACAAACAGTGACTGTCACGGTGTATGGAGATTCGCGCCAAAACTGCTCAAAGGAAGTGGTCGATGATTTTGATTTGTGCCAAGACTGGCGAATCGTTCGATTACCGCGTGTTTACAATGATCACGCCGAGTTTTAGTGGCGTGAATGCTTTATCATAAGCGTTTCAATCTAACTTATTAATTTTTCGAGTTTATTCGCCCGATGTGAACTTATTCGCGAGCTTAAAAATTATTAAAGAATTTTTATTTTTCATAAGAACTATGCAACTGGTAGTAAAATTTAATACAGCATAAATTTAGAATCTTCTCATCGTATCGAATCAGTTGCAAAGTTTTAACGCGTGATATCCACAAAATACTGAACAGCAGCTGATCAACCGTCCTATAAAGCCTTTCGGGGTAACTATATATGTATGGATAATGCATCGAACGCCGTTGTCCCCATTTCATTTCAAAAACATACAAATAGATTCAATATCTGATTGAGTAAAAAAAAAACGAAACCGAATGATCGGAATGCAAAACAGCAAAATGTTATAGTCGGCCTGTAACATCATATCGGGCCCTCAATACGGCATTCATCAACCATAAATATTTATTAATGCAATAATGCCGTATTACATGTGCAACGCTTAGTTTGCAATGTTACCGACACGGCGTGACAGTCGCGCACTCGATACAAAGAATACCTGTGCAACGACACGATATTGCCTCATTACGGAGCAACGATAATATTTCGTTGTCGGATCTTTATATGTTCGATACGCAGATGGATAACTCGAGACTGAATGAAATATTAAAATTTTTATCGGACAAAATATTGCTGCGCTATCGGTCGTTTTATACGAAAATACCCCTGACATCGGATAAACAAAACGAAAATGCGACGCGGACACTTCGGAAAAGTCGATGAAATCATCGTGTGTTGCGCCTGCCTGCCATGCCCATTGCCTTACATGCACGATTACAGTGCGCTGCACGCACAGAGAGCAGAGCTGTGCCATGCGAAACGACTGCCTCGCAGCAGAGGTCGGCCGGTGGGGGAGAAAACTGCGCCGTAAAAGAGAAATCTGTAAGCGTCGGCCATGTTTTCGTGGCTGTAGAGAAGAGAACGTTCACGAAGCGGACGAAGCGACGCGTCGCGAGGTCGGTGTACGATGAAGATCCCTGCACAAACGCGGCCCGCATTCAGCCATATTGCTGGCAGTGAGCGCTGAGCAGTTGTCTGAGCAGGTAGATCCCGCTTTGAGTGACCGAGTATAGAAAGCGCGATATACATACATTTATATATCTGTATAGATCAACGTCGCGTAGCACTCGAGCGGCGACTTGGCGCGATTATAAAAATTTTCACCACTGCCGTGTGCTGCTGCCTACTTGACGTCGGAAAAATCACCGAGTGGCTTCTGGAGAGACCACCTCCGCACGCGGTACGTGCAGCATCCGACCGCGCTTCGCTTCCATCGTGGGACCTATTTGCACTATTCGAGGGACTCCGTTGACGTTGTTGTTGCTCTGGGTCGACTGAGAAAAATAAACGGAGCGGTTTTACTTTTTTTGATTTTACTTTGCCGTACGACGAGATAGAATATGGACAGCAAGGGACAAATGAAGACGTACGTGCGTCGCAGCAGAAAGGGCGACAGCCCGAGCAACGTTATTATTCATCTGAACGAGCTATGCCGACTGTGCCTGGTCAAAGATGAGGAGATGGTGCCAATTTTCGACGAAGATCTGATACCTATGCCACTTAGAATTATGGCTTGCATCAATCTTGAGGTTATTACTCTTCTTTTTTTCTGTTGCTATTCTTAATTCTGTAGTTTATAATTTACTTTTTCCTACGGTTAATAAGCTGGAAGCGTCATTGAGCGTCCGATGCGAGGCATTTTTTCCTCCTCTCTACCATAGTATGTTACTCGAGTGTACTATTTTTCTTCGTCTCACCACCTCTTCTTTCATAAAATGCACACGCACACACATGGATGATTGGCGCGCCTCTCCTCGCGAACACACCCACACTCGTTGTGTGGATACGCAAATGACGCGCTGCGTCTTCGTTTGCATACATTGTTATACACATTAGGTTAAGCATAAAAAATGAGCAGCCGCCGGCGTTGTATGCACTAATAACTCGGACGAGAGTGAATTTACCCACTTGGAGCTTTGAATTCAATCGAAATAGCTAGGTTATAGAAACCTATTTTATCGCTCTGTACCGATGTCGAATAAGCCATGAGATGATACATACGTTTTCAAATCAGTTTTTACATTATATACTTGCTCTGGAGTAACTCGCTGTTATGACATCTCTCGCGTATCACATATACTCAGCACCGAAAGGCGTCGTTCCGTGCTGCGATACTCGCAATCCTATGACGGATACAGAATAGCCTACATGTATCGATAATTATCTTTTTAACGCACGTAAATGCATTATAAGCAGCGCACACCTCTGCTGCGCTCTGGTGTGCTTCTTCGTGGCATCGATACGCGCAGCTTGCAACGAAAACATACTGCCACGGCCGCTATCATGGAAGCCGACGATATTATATATCCTCGAATGCAACAACCTTTTTTACCGAGTTATCGACTTTGGTGGTTTTGACCAAGGAAATCTCTAGATATCCAAAACACGACAATATGATTCCTGTATTATGATAAATGGATTTGTTTCGATTATTCGGATGCGCTCGCTTCAAGCGTCCTAACTTCATTGATCTCATGATTAATATGAATTTTCATTGCTAATCATATGAACCAAAAATATTGATTCAATCTAACAAAAATAGGAGTATAAATGTTTCGAAAGATACTAAATGGACCCAAAATAGAATCTTAAAAATATTAACTTTTTTTTATCGTATTCTTAACTCATTGTTTTCAGTCAAGTCATGTTATTCTTAATTTTAATTAAAAAACAATATTGCATAGAAACTTAAATTACATACTTTACTGTTTGATACATTGAATTCTTTTCTTTCATGAACTTATTTGAAACTTCCTTTTAACAGGTTTTTGAAGAAGATGGCTTACCAAATATGATTTGCCATTCTTGCAAATACCAATTAGAAAAAGCTTATCAGTTTAAAAAAAAATGTGAAGCAGCTGATAGTAAATTACGGAAACATGTCAAGATGATTCAACAATTAACAGGAGAAGAAGACGAAGTACGAAGTCAGGATGAAAATGAACAGTCTAGCAATGGCAAACAAAAAAGAGTTAAACAATTACTTGCAGACTTGGTCTCCACAAGATCTGAAAATACCCAAATGGAAAGTGATCCCATTGAAGTAACTGAAGAAGAATTAGTCGGTGGGTACATTCTTGGTGTAGGTGTTGACAATGCTGAATTGGAAGATCATCTATCGGAAGATCCTGAGAATATTACTCTGGGACCAGCTGAAGAGAGAACAGCCAAAGCACGATGCACCATCAGGGGAGCAAGAATTAAACAAGAGCAAGACTCAGATGAAGAAACTGTGGATGAAGTTCAAAGAGGTAACTCTGCTAACAGTGAACAACAAATGTATGTTATGGAATATCAAACTCAACCTCAGAGTCAGCAAGTTCAACAGCGTCCCCAAATAGGTAATAATGAAAAACTTAAATTTATTTTTAAGTGGAAAATACATTGCTTGATTATATATATTTTTTTATTCTAGTTGAATCTGGTGAAGAAATCAAAGTTTTCCAGTGTGATAAATGTCCCAAAGCTTTTACGAGAAGAATTATGTTGAAAAGCCATCAGTCAGTTCATAGTACTCAGAGAGGGTTTACTTGCCAAGCATGTGAAAAGTGGTTCCCGACTAGATCTGCTTTGGTTAGACATGAAAGAACTCATACGGGTGAAAAACCTTTTGGATGTAATATTTGTCATAGAGCTTTTGCTCAAAAAGAAATACTTCTCAGACATCTCATGACTCATTCAGGTCAGAAGCCTTTCCAATGCCAACATTGTGAAAAAAGTTTCACACAACGTGAAGCTCTTAAAGTACACATGCGCAGACATCAAAAACTTAACCCAAATGATATTCAATTACATCATTGTCAATTATGTCCAAAAGCTTTTTGTCATGCATCTGGCCTAAGCAGACATCTTGTCACACACACTGGAAGAACTTACAAATGTGTAGAATGTGAAAAGTCATTCACTGATAAAAGTTCACTTTTAAGGCACAGTCGCATTCATGCTCCCAAACCTATAGTAAATTAAAAAATTATCCTTGAAAGAATTTTTCAGATACTTGGTTGCATTCATATTAATTTTATATTTATCAAAAATTAAAATGATAAGATTATTTTAATAATTATGGGTGAAATTAAAAAATATTAAAAAACAAATCAACTACGATAAATGATGGCTCTAAACAGGTCGTTTTCAGATTTCCATTAAGTGGACACTTAATGCTTTGCCAGGAGAAAAATAAACAAGATCTTTCATCTCGTTTATGACACAAGATCTTTCATTTTTGCATGCAAACACATTTGTTGTGCCTCCAAGCAAAGCAGTATCAAGACCACTTTTTGAAAACGAATAGTGAACGCAATGAAGTTGTAAATTTAACATGGACTTTGAATTTTGTGATGATGATGGATAGTGTAATTTTAATTTTTCACGAATTATATTTTATTTAACATTTGCGTTGGTAAAGCCATTATTTTTTTGGATAATGTTTTTACGAATTTACTTCCTGATTATGAATAAATTTTATATGATGTACGAATATATTCCCACAAAATCATGTTCTCAATTGATTATGTATTTAAATCAATAATTTAAGACTTATTAAATTTTATAGCTTTCACTGTCTGTAAATTAATTACTGTGAATAAAATAAAAAAAAATAAAAAAATTTGATTCAGTAAATGAAATATTTGAACTTTATATTAAAAAATCTTGTTTATTTTTTTTTTTTTTTTTTTGGTGTACGGTGTAGCTGAATAATATGCATCTGCTTGCATGTTCAGCCTCATCGATAGCGAGGGCTAAGTTAAAACATTTTTTTCTTATGTCAATTTCTTTTATAACTTTTATCAAGATAAGTACAATCCATTTCGAATGTGTTACTTCGCCTTAGCGAAAAATGTCGATGGGTCACAGAAAAATGTTTTCGTCATTTACATACAATTCAGTTTATAACTGGTCGATTGTACAGTTCACGAATTTTTTGATTATACTTAAGAAGATTAAAAAAATCACGCAAAATATCGTGCGCATTAAATCTAAAAACAGATACATAAGAGATATAGATATCTATAGCTGGTGGCACTCTGTTAAGTGTATTGGTATTTCATTTGGTTTTTTCAAACTTCATTCCTGTGATGGGTTTAGCATGAGGGGAGCGTGGCTGAACAAGAAACATGCAAATGCTATTTTATGTATATCTTAACAACTAAGAGTTTAAAATTCGCGAATACAATACAATTTCTATTTTTCTACAACTTTACAAACTAGGAACCACTGCATCCCTCGTGCTGTACCTTCGACGAGACATCTGCAGTTAGTACTATTTTTTTTTTTTTTTTACCAAAAGTAACGTGACTGTTTAACTCATACATACAAACACACATACATACATACAGACATACATACACATGCCACCTTTTATAAACGTGGAACTGAACTTCTACTTTGCATGTTTATAATTGAATAATTGATCAAGAGTAAATAAATTGATTAAATTGACTAAAAAAACTGAACATGCAAAGCATCATATATTCTTTGATTTCATGTCCACACTTTTCTTCTTTTAAAGAAGTCACTTTATTTCATGCTGGTTGATCACTTTTGGAATATTTCAATTTGTACTAATTTTTTTTGCAACTTTTTTTAACCGAAGTAACATTTTTATGAAAAAATACACAGTTCCAAAACTAATTCAACCTTAAGAGGCATTATTAGCAATTTCACAATTTGGGTGACATGAGTTTTAAATTTATGAAAATAGATCGACGAAAAAAATAGAGAAAACATAAAACCAAAGAATACAGTTGGTACAAGGAGAAGCTTGTCACATCGTCAAAGTTAAATGGTTTATGTAGGATTGAGTCAATCAAGTTTTAGGGTTTTGGGTTGTTCCCAAGTAAAGCAGTCCCTTCCAAAATGTCCATATGTGCTTGTTTGCTGATAGATAGGATTGCGCAAATTAAGCTCCCTAAATAAAAAAAATATATATATTAGTAAAATAAAATGTGATCAACATTATACATAATCAAAGTACATTTTAAGTAAATAAACTTACTTGACAATTTTTCCAGGACGTAAGTCAAAGTTTTTGTTTACTATCGCTAAAAGTTCATTTTGAGACAGCTTTGATGTTCCATAATCAAAGACTGTAATAGATAAAGGTTCTGCAACACCAATTGCATATGATACTTGTACTAAGCAGCGCCTGCAGAGCCCGGCTTTAACCAACGATTTTGCTACCCATCGAGCAGCGTACGCAGCAGATCTGTCAACTTTAGTAAAATCTTTTCCTGAGAAAGCACCTCCTCCATGAGCACCCCAACCTCCATAGGTATCAACAATAATTTTACGCCCAGTGAGACCAGCATCACTCTAAAAGTTAATAATAAAAATTTAAGATCATGGAATGACAGATTTTTGTTGTTCAATTCTTAGATTTTATTTATATAAAAGTTTAAATATGATTAATTCTTAAATCTGTCATTTAAAATACTAAAATATTCTCAGAAAATATTTGCTAATCATGGCATTCAGAAGTAGCAAATAAGATATCCATCATTGAAAACGAAATTGTATATATTTTTCGTAATATTAATCTTAACAACATAATACTGTTCATAATAGTCATGCACAAATAAGATGAATTTAAAATGTATCTACCTGTGGGCCTCCAATGATAAATAGTCCGCAAGGATTAACATGAAAAACTGTCCTTTCATCCAAATATTTAGCTGGAATAACTTCTTTGATAACTTTGTCCATTATAGCTTGGCGCAAATCTTCCAAAGAGACTTTTTCACTGTGTTGGAGAGAGACTACTACTGTGTGTACTCTAATTGGTACACATGCACCATGATCCATTTTATATTCACATGTTACCTATTTAAAAAAATTATACCATTAAAATCTCAATCATATAATAATTTTACATTAATGTTGATTTTGAACTATTTAGTGACTTTGTTATTCTCAACAGTGTTTTTTACATCATGGCATTCAAGAGTAGCAAATACAAAAAGATCATCATTGAATAACAAGTATGCAATATAATGTGAAAAATATAATTTAATAAAAACTATTAAAGTACCTGAGTCTTAGAATCGGGTCGTGCCCACCATAGTTCTCCACTTCGTCTCAATTCAGCAATCTTCTGATTAAGCCTGTGTGCTAACACCACTGTTAGCGGCATGCATTCGTCTGTTTCATCAGTAGCATATCCAAACATTAAACCCTGAAGATTGAAGAAACATTAGAATAGAAATATAGAAGATTTCATAAATAGAAACATCAAATAATTACTCAAAAACTAATTTAAAAACTCATTGTTAACACAAATTTTAGAGCATGCAAATAATAACTTTGGAAACGATACTTGATAATGTTATCAAAATCATCTGTTTTGAAAGTTATTAAAAAGTAAGTTGAAGTATATTGAAAAGTGAAATATCATTCTCAGATAATATTTGGTTCTAATCATGGCATTCAGAAGTAGCAAATAGTATGAACATCATTGAATGTTATATTTCACTTGTATTATTAATTAATTTAAATGTTATTTAATATATTAATATATAAGATAAATAAATAAAACACCAACACTGTCTCACAGAGCCAAATAATAATATAAAGATGTGGAGAGAAAATAAATCAGAAACTACAGTAATACATTTTCCACTTCTATGATAGTAATAGAAAAAGTTTCATGTGAAAATAGAGTAAAAATATGGACATCTAACTAGAGGTATAAGGATCCATAATATTAAAAACTTAATATGTAACTACTGTAACTACACCACTACACAACACAGATATACTTTGTAAACGCTATACAAAGTAAAATAGTACCATAAATTATTGCAAAACCAAATTAATGGAACAGAGAGTGCAAATAGAAATAAAGGTGCTGACATAAAATGAATAAGACACATTAAGTCAACTAGAAGGAGAAATGATAAAACATCCAAGAAAAAATTTTTGGTCATGTAACCTGATCGCCAGCACCAACTTCTTCATCACTACGATTTTCATGTACGCCAGCTGCAATATTTGGGGATTGAGCATCAAGTGCCAATAAAATGCTGCACAGTTTGTAGTCAAAACCTGTAGAAATGATGGAAAATAAGATTCAAGTAATTCGCAGCAAAAATGATCTTAATCCTCTGGAATAATTTGTTTTCTAAGAACATGTTTCATATAAATGAAATCTTATTTTGACTAAATACTGAATTGTGATTTTCAACTAGTTCAAATACATTGAATTTTTTTCGTATGTATGTATAGAATTGTTTGTTTTGCCATAAATGGATCCTCTTCTCTAGAGTTAGTTTGTAAGAACCCCTATCTTTATCATTGTGCGGTAATTAGAAATAATTGGAATTTGAGTTCACTGTTATTTTTAATCGTGAGGTGGCAGCAAAAAAGTTAAATGAGATTTATTAAATTTGCTGCTCTGTGGTACAGGCTGTGAAAGTATTATGTACCTGATCGCCTGCACCTACGTCCACTTCTGCTCTGTCAACATGAACTCCATCAGCTATATTTGGAGATTGCTGTTCGATTGCCACCATAAGATTCAATGTACGCCAATCAAATCCTGCTACCAGCATTATATGCTTATATTAAGTATTTTTACACACGCGATTATGATTGGAGTTGAATAATTGTTTACCCGGCAGCTTTTAAAAATTGTAATCATGACTCTAACGAAGTTTTTTGAGTAGTTTAGTTCAAGTTAATTAATCAATTCATAATTATAAAAATATAAATAAATCAAATCTCAAATAGTTTTCTTTGAAAATAAGATTTTTTGAATTAACTAAATTTTGAAGTGTTCAGTATTGAAAATTTATGAACGTACCTTTGGAAGAATCATCATATCCTATATGATTCACAGTATCACGTACAATTTTTTGATAATCTACTACAGCTTTAGAAGTGATTTCTCCACACAATAATACCATTCCAGTCTTTGTAACAGTTTCTAAAATATCATAAAAAGTTAAGTGTTAAATAATTTTAAAACAAAATTAAAGAAAATTCTGTATGTACTAACCACAGGCAACTTTGGCATCGGGATCTTGCCTGAGATGAGCATCCAGAATGGCATCACTGATTTGATCGCACATTTTGTCTAAAAACAATAGTTATTAATTAGTTTCTGAGAAATAAATAGAACCAATTTAGAAAGAAGATTGAATGAAGAGTTAAATCTAGATAGCAAAAGTAAATAACATTACATAAAAATTAAATGGACTGGTCGTTGTAAACATGCTGCAAACTGTATCAAGGGACCGGCGAAAATATTTTATCATACTCGTACGATTTAAGGTCAGGTTGAATTTTAATTCAGTCAAAAGATTTGTGAAAAAAAAATATTGAGATGGACTCTCGCGGTCGTTTAATAACGATAACATTTTCCTCGTGTGAGGCCGAAGATTGATAGAGGCAATCGGCCGATAGTCGTTAAAAATAACAATAGGGGAGCAAATTTTTCGCAGAGGAAGGAGACGACGGCAAGATAGATCACATCGGTTGTGCCAAGTTATAAAGAAGCGGCGAAATTCAAACATAAATGGCTAATCTGCCAGAGAGAGCGTCGGGTCAGAGGAGAGTTCCACCGCACGCAAGAGAGGTTTTAATCTCGCACGCAAGCACATGGCACTTAGCTCGGGTTTTTTTTTCGTTCCGACTCCGAAATTATGGTGTTAATTCGAGCGCATGGGAAGAACGATGAAATGTTCGTAAGGGAAGGGGGATCAGAAGAAAAGGTCTCAAACGCGAATGTGGGATGTGTATCGAGGGAATCATGATGCAATAATATTTTGGAGCTGTTCGATCGAGTGTTTTTCCACGATTCTCTCACAAAGATTCATAAATTATATGAATAATACAGATAAGAGTCGAGAAAAAAAATGCCCTCCAGAACAGGTGAAGCAGCCGCGATGTTTCATCATGTTAAAAATTCTAAAAAATGATCAGCTATGATGAATTCAAATCGAGCTGTACTGCGCATGGTTTGGGGCAAGCAGTAAAAAGGAGCGTAAGAAAGAGAGAGACAGGAAGTGATCGTAGTACAAGAGTGCGCCTCTCACATAGAAATTCATGCGCTCATCATCGATGACGTATATGCGTTTCTTGGAAACGTTCGATTTTTAACCTAAAAGCTAGATTGTGCTGCGGGCAAGTGTGTAAGAGAAAAAGAGCGATAGAGAGAAAGAGAGAGAGAGAGAGAGAGAGAGAGAGCACGAGACATGACGCCAAGAACGTGTTCGAGGGAGTCGATAGAGATTACACATTATGCGATCGAAGAAAAGGCTCTCGCGAGAATTCGAATCCGGACTTATGAATAAAATAAAGGGTTTCACGTGATGTATGCGATTAATTTGGTGATTTTCCGTGCTCTACTGTACATGACTACAGTAGAGTGTCTCGGGCTGCGTTATAACGAAAGCTTAGAGAAAGAGAGAGAGAGAGCAGGTCAACGGGCGCATGGCCCCATGAAGCAAGGCTACTTTTAGCTACAAGCAGACGAGACCAACACGGCATTAAAGGAAGTAGAGATGTGAGAGTGAAATGATTCGCTAGATTGGAGTACGCCAGGAAAGAGACAGTGAGAATAGATGAAAGAAAGTACGAGAAGAGGAGCGGGCGAGCGCAAGGGTTAGAGCCAGTACAGAGCGCGTGTAAAACTTGTATTACTCAAGTCGAGGAAATAGCACATGGCGCGAACGAAAGCGAGAAAGTAAAAAAGGGTATGAGCAAGGCATACGATATCTCGACTGACCTGGATGTCCCTCGCCAACGGACTCGGAGGTGAAGAGGAAACTCGTGTCCTGCTGTAGTTCTGGTGGCGTGTGGCCATTGGCGTAGCCGTTCATATGGTGCGCGTTCTCCGGCATGATGCTGTCGTTGGCTTCGTTCTGTTCCTGAATCGTGTTCTTTAACTCTGCGCTACCCGGCTGAGACTGTGACTCGTGCAGATGATCCAGATCCAGCTGGCCTGTCTGTGGCGATCTCTCCACCAGTGTGAGAGCGTGTGTGCTTACGTGCCTCGAGAGAGGGGGACTCGTATACTCGGAGAGAGTATGAGAAAAGAGCGAGAGAGAGAGAGAGTGGGAGGAGGCGCTCGCTGCTGCGATGCTGCCTATCGCTTTTTATACAGTGTCGACTATGACTGACTACTGACCGACTGTCGTATACTGTACATATACATGTAGTTGCTGGTGCGTATATATTAGCGCGGGATGTTACGAGCGTGTATGCTCAAGAGCTCTCCGTACCTGCAAACTAACTACGACGAGCCCCTGCGACGAACTGACTGAGCTGCTGCCGTTGCTGCTGCTGCTGCTGCTGAGCGCTGAGCAGACTTACGATTTTCGTATGCTATACGTCGTCTTCTTTCCTTCTTTCTTCCTCTTGTCGTTCTCGCTGCAGAGCGAGTGCTGTTCGAAGGGCGAGAGTAAAAGAGCCAGCGACTAACTACGACGCGGTACTACTGCTTCTGCTATGCTCAACTTCTATATGATGATGATAACAACGATGATGATGATGATGATGATGATGTGCAGCTGTAATGCGCACCCTCGTTTCCCCGACCAACGCGAGCTGCTGCTACTATACAGGAACGGGAGAGTCCGACAGTCCGAGTCGATCGCCAACTTATATTAGCAGAAAGAGACTCGATTCGATTGTATATTCTCGCAGTTTTGTCAATAGCTACTAGTGCTGCTATTGCCTTCTGCTCTTATCAGCGCGCGAGAGAGATAGAGAGAGAGAGAAACTCGTGCACGCTCACTCCGCGAAAACGCGTATATAGTGGCCTGATGCAATGTGCCTGGCTGCGAGAGAGAGAGAGCTGCTGTTGTTGCAATTCGCGCGCACAGACACGAGAGTCGTCGCTCGGTGTGCGTGCGTGACGAGAGCGTGTCGGAGATTTGTGACGGCCGCGCGCGACGATTGACGAAGGTGCAAGGAATATACAGCGTGTATACTATATATAGGTATTTGTACGTGCTATATTATACACAGCGAGGGAGATGCTGAAATCTGTGACTGTACGAATGACCGCGACGATACGACGAGCTCGTATATTCGTGCAGTCAGCACAGCGAGGAAGATAGAAAGAGAGAGAGAGAGAGAGAGAGAGAGATGGATGGATGGACGGAGCGAGGGGTCTTTCAAGTTCGACGAGAGCGTGCTGCTGTGTACGATGAAGCGAGGGATAGAAGGAAAATTAGCATAACTAGTAAGTATGCGAGTGACGACTGCGCACGAGACGCTGTGCAGTGCGAAAAAGAAGAGAAGTCTCCCCGCTCGCCGGCCCCCTTTATTTATAAAACCACGGCACAAGCACAGCTCGCGAATACATGTATAGAGAGAAATCCTCGGCCGAGACCGTCGCGCCTCGATCGTCTTCGGATCCGTCGTCGACGTCGCGCATCATGTGATCGCAGCCTGATCCTATCCTTATATACTAGATTATAGATATACCCCCCAGCTTGGGGCAGCCCAATTTATATATAGATATATATACACAATTCAGCCTATTGTATACAACGCGTGTCTCTGTATTTTTTTTATCTGTACATATGATTTGCATGTATTTTGATGATCGTTTATGCTCGCGACGACGATTCGTTACCAAAGACAACGTAATTATCACGCGAGCCTGATGTAAATACGCAAATTAACAGGCAGCGTTTAAAGATTGAACGGAAGCCGATGTATATGCGCGACTTTTACCTCGTGCAGCTGTGACTGTTGCTTCTGCCTTTGCGGCACACAGCCCGTCGCGCTGTTGTTGACGATCGAGCCGCCAACACGTGCGCGCAACACCGTGCAATAGTGTTACAGTATTATACCTATACGCGCTACGTTACGATGAGATTATTGATTTGATTTATGATGACTTTGGAGCTCGCGGTTCTTTAACGTGTTGACGATTTTCCATCTCGTGCTTCTACGTGTCTTACGAAGTTATTTTCCTTCGTTACTTCGGAAAAATGATGGCTTATCATGGCTATTAAACATTTTCAGCTGAAATTTCACTTTTTTACTTATTTTTTTTTTCTTTCTCTTCATTTACTCCGAGCAGTCAACCTAAATCCTGTTGTGAACTCCAAGATGCACTCGGCTTTCTTTCCAATCTTACATACGTTCGAGGGTCTTTTTCACTGCTCGTAGCGTACAAGTGGGCAAAGTTCGACGGAACAGCTGTTACAAAGCACGAGTAACGTGAAAAGCAAGATATATATCTTTTGACAGTCGTCGTCGTGAACAGCTGTGTGTTCTGCCGGCTTAAAATTCCGACCCTCTTGCTCTTCGACTCTGTGTATTTTTTACAATACCGTCCGAAAAACAGTGCGATTGAAGTGTAAGGGAAAAAGTCGGTTTTTTTTGAGAATTCACGAGAAAAAATATTTTGACCAACTTTCTTTGCTCTGGAAAAATTCCATAGATTCTTCGAGAAAATTTGACAACTTTAAATTTGTTATTAAGTTTGAATATTTATTAATTTTTTATCTAAATAAGTAGTAAATTATAATACAAATTTTTCTAACGGTGTCGTTCCGTAACAACAAATATTTTCAGTGTGTGTGTGTGTGATTTTTAAACATAGATAAAATACATAAAGTTTGGCTGATGAAAACGTTATCCGATGTAACACGAGAAAACGTTACCTCATCGTCGTTTAGACTCCAAAAATTATGTAAATAAGGCTGATGTAAACACAGATACAATTGCTCCCAAAATCCTCTCCCGTTGAGAGACTCTTCGATTTGAGGTAAAAAAGAAAAAAAATAAATAATAAGGAGAGAAGGGGAAAAAGCTACCGGTATAATTGATGAGTTTATTTATTTATTCTCGAGGAGAAAAAAAATATAATTTGAATTTCTTCATAGTCATTTTTATACATACGGAAATTATAATCTGTATATTGCAAATGTACGTTCATTCAGCATGTGTATTATAACGTGGATTTAAAAATGACCTAGTCATTTTGCTTTCAAAGCTGATGAAATTTTACGCTTCATGAGATTTACACTTTTTTGTCATGAAAAAGATCCGAGATGTTGTTAAACTAACGCTATCTAATTGATTCAACGATAATTGTTTTTTTAAAAGAAAGAAAACTATAACTATTACTCGAGTCTTCGAAATGTCGAAGGCACTTCGTGAAGGTTAAACAATTATGCAGGAAAACCCGTTTTAACCGAACTCAAATTGATAATGTTATAATCGCTCGAGCCGACGAGTCTTTGAGAAAAAAAGAGCAAGCTATTATAAGAACAGTATATATATATGGAAGCTAAGAATTAAAATTTAGATATGAAGTATTATGGAGGTTTATTTTACAGCGAAACGACGACGACGAAGTAGAAGACGCATTTTTCAGCGGTATTTCTGTATGAAGTAATGTGAAATATAACCCACAATCGCTCCTCGATGCAGCCGGCTTTATAGCCGTCGAAAAAGTTGTTATAAAAGTTTCCTCGTGGCGTATACAATTTTGCTGATGCAAAAAGAAAGAAAGAGAGGAAAAAAAAACGACGGGCGAGCATTATCAGCAGGCGAGGAGGCGCACACATTCACTGACATATTACTCATTATCACGCACTTTTGCCGGGCCGTATCAATCGTGCACGTGGAACTGGGAGAGAAAATCGCCACTCATTATATTGCATTAGTTTAGAAAATGTTTGCAATAAATACGAGTTGGCGCTCGGATGCGACCGAGAGCGTTCGGCGCGACGTACAACTTCGTGTGGGTATTTTTCGGAAAAATAGCTGCGAGAGGTTGCTCAACTATACACGCGCGACTATTACTAATACGTTTAATGGAATATTTATGAAGCAACTCCGAGGTAAATTGAAGTGATGGGCCTGTGTACGTTTCTTTCGGGGGAGGGGTATTCTATGAGGATGGCATCGAACTTTGAATAATCATAAAATATTATAACGAAAAAATCACACGATCTTTTTAAGTTTTATCGTGTGTTAAATGCGCTGCAAACCGCTCTCTCGCGTGGGTTGTCGCGAAAAAAGACAAATCTTTGAAAGTAATTTGATACTATTTTTAACGGTTGTAACTTGAACGATATCAGTTCATTTTTTTTTGCATCGGTCGGAATATTTTTCACCTTTGTTCATTTGTTCACTGCGGTGACGTATATGTGCACTTATTTAACGTAAAATACAAAAGTAAATAATGAATTAACGATGCTTTTTCAAGCCGTAATAACCCGGACGTCATGCAGTTGAATAATTTTTCAAAGAAACTATGAACTCAAGAGTGCAAAATTGTATCGTTACGCATGAAAATTTTCATATTTAAAAAGCACAATCGTAAAAAATGTATTCTATGCTTGGCAGTTGTGTTACTTGTTTCCGCGTAAGCTCGACGCGAGATCCGATCAAATTTCAAACTTTTTTCCAGCCAAGTCCTTAAATTTCGAATAAAAGCAATAAAATCTGCTCTTCAGCGTTTTCGTAGATAATTCCTTTGGTTTAGTAATTCGGTATAATGGCTTTTCGTAACAGAATTTACACGCGTCAGCAGCATGATTTTAATTTTCGTATCATTTTACCGTACAAAAAAAAAAGTTGATTAAAAAGTTTTGAAATAAAAAATGCATAATTTTCCATTATGAACTTTATTTGTTTTTATGAAAAATATCGTGAAATGTTTTCAATCGTAGAGATTTAATTGTTGATAAATTAAAATTAGATTAAATTTAGATAAAGGTCTATAATGTTCGAACTGCAATTGTCAAATCTATTAGAAAAAAGTACCGTTTATAAAATTTCATGTTTTCAGTACGCATATCCTAATGATTAAAGTTTTTTTCTTTACAAATGAGTAAAATTTTACATCTGCTGACACTTTATCTATTTTAATTGATTGTTGAGTAAAACGAGATTGCGCTTCGGACGATTATTTATAGTTTATTTCATTGATTGATCGAGATTAATTTCTCTGCCCCCGTTGACACGCGAGATATATTTTTAAACAATATATAACATTATTATCAAATGTTTTGAGTTCAAATTTGACAATCTGGTATTATTCAGTAAGAAGCAGTCGATTTATTCAAGTCTGCTCTCGATGTCAATCATACAATTAATGAACGCGAACTTTGCTGCGAGCTGCGCTCGGTCGTGCATACACACGCAGATGTTGATAAAGGAAAAAAAAATCATCATTATGGTTGTTTGTGAAGAAAGCTGAGTTTCAAGCCTAATCTAGCTAAGTCTGCTTTCTACAGTAATTCGTTCGTTAAACTCTTTTTTTTTTCAAAGAAATTATACAAGATGCTGCACATTATCTCGAGAAGATTGAGTGTACTAAAAAAAAAAGGTGCCGATAAGTACACCACACGTACACACGTACCATTGCCGACGCAGCTCTCTGGTAAAACAGTCAAAAACAATGACGTGCACTGCTCTTTTCGCGCATATATTAATGATTGATATCATTCATTAGGGTAGAATAACTGCTATCAAGAGTAAATATTACACCGAACTATATATTACGTAATCGAGCTTTATCTCTCTTTCTCGATTTTGTTGTTTAAAGAGTCTTATATCGTGTTTCGGTATATACAATAATAGTGAATGAAAATTTTTCGTCGATATATAATAGCTATTATTCTTCGATTCCAAGACCCCTATGAAGAAGTGTCTGCATCGTGATTTCCTAAGCTCTTACGAAATCGAGTTGCGATATGATTTATTTCGATATTTTAATGAGTATATTTAAAATTCCGCCAAGTTTTTTAACTTATCGGTGTTCTGATGATGTTCAAGAAAAACAAAATTAAAATTATCGCACAATGGTGTAAAACTATTGATACCGTGTATTCTTTTGATTGCAATGACTGCGATTCCGCAAAAACTCCCAATTATAAAAGCTATGCTTCCAATTATGAAAAAATAGTTACGAAGGGTTTGAATGTACAAACTTTTTTGGGGAGTTCTATATGAAAAGCTTCTGAAATGCTTAGCTTGAAATTCAAAATTTTCTATGATTACGATCGGGAGCTGTAAGAAAATTAAACGTAATAGTTGAAATTAATAATAAAGTTTGAAAGGAAATTGATAATCACATAGAATATACATGTTTATTTCCAGAAAAATTTCAATTGAAAGTAATTATTAGAAGACATAAGAAAGCTGTACTATTATAAGTCGAAAAATTTCAAAGGTAAAATAGTAACAGATAAAACGCGTACAATGAGAATCTGTTATTTCCTATATGATGGAAATATCATAATTAAAGTACTACATAATACTATGACTTCAGAATCAGCTTAGTTCAAATCAATTTCAAATGGAAAAGCAGATGTTATTGTTCATTTTTGTCATTGTTCTTTTAAACATTGTGAAATCATATTGTACCATTAAATATTTTTGAAATAAATTCCATTCCTATGATATCATTCATTTTGATATAATACGAATGGCCACACAGAAGTTTATAAGTAGTTGTTTTATTTGCTCGACAGATCAATTACACAGAGTGATGATTTTGTAAAGGAGAGCTCATTACGCTGTTCGAAGAACGAAGCAGCTGTAGCGCGCACCATCTGTGAATTTTGAGACAACTTTTTAAATCATCATTCTTATTTGTTTGCGCTAGAATTACAAATGCAAGAATTGAAACATAAAATTTTAAAATTAAGCGTTATGTTTTTATTAAAAATTAATGGATTAAATTAATTTAACTTTTAGATTACTGAAACATTAATTTTTTCTTGTTACTGTTAAGAAATTTTACAAATACACTACGGTAAACCCTGTAGTAAAAATTGTTATGTTTGCTGAGAAAATTAGAGTCAAATAGCAATGGTCATATGTTATAGAATATTGTAATCTTTATCATATTCCATTACCAAACTGTGTTATAACTAAAGTACAGATTATTATATTCTATAACATAAGACCACCATTATTTGACTCTGTTTCAACTTTTCTCAGCCAATATAAACATTTTTACAATATTTGGTCTTTCTTCAATGAGAGAATGTTTTCAAATATATTACGATTCCTATTTATTGAGACAAATTACGGAGCATTTACTTGAGTAATATTTAAAAAAGTTTTGTTTGAATTTTGGTTTTTTCTTGGTAAAAATGAAATATTTTGGACAATCTAATTACACCATTGAAGCCGAGCAAAAATATATCGGAACCATACATGAATGTTTTTTTTTGAGTAAATTCTAACACTTTTTTCGTAAGCTAGAAATATGGTAATATTGTCTGATAATGATCAACTCATGGTCAACACTCCAGCGTCCGTCATTTATCGTCGAGATCTCCAGCGACTTACGTGACCCTCTGTTTTAGCCCTTTTTAGGCCTTAAAATTTGAAAATGCCCTCGAACGTCGTGTAAGCGCTTGCGCTCAATCCTGATTTATAAATGCAGCTTCGAAGATGTTTTATTAGTCTTGAAAAAAGCGTTTGTTGCCTTGTTTTCTTAGTGACAATTGATTGAAAAACAATTTGATATAATGGTGTACCAAGTTACTTATAGCATCGACAAAATAGCTTTTTGTTACGGTAACTAAAAATATTAGTCGGCGGTACAGAAGTGCGTTTTTTTTGTAACAAGGAAGAATTTTTCTGTGTGTTCTTCAATATTTTTCCCCCCTCACTTCAGTTTCGTAATGTACTATTTTCTATGTGTGCCTATCAGTGTCGTGTGTCGTTGAGTTTCCGACACGTGAAACCCATCACTATTGTCTGCGTACGATGCGGGCAGGGATGTCTGATAGGCTGCACGACTTGCAGGCGCTCGCCAGAAACAGCGTCTGGAGAAGACCCACATGGTCAAATGACGTTGTCGTCATCGACAGCTGGAACGGCAATGGTTGCGACCGCGAGCTATGAGTATGCAGATATGCTACTCCTAATCCAGGATGTCAAGCTCCTGTTTATGGTATACTTTGAGATCAGGAGCTTTAAAGATAAAATGGATGAATGATTCAAATTTGATCGACGGCCCGGAAATATAACGGATACCATCAAAGATCATTTACCAAAATTACTCGTGAACGACTAGCAGCCTCGTCCATCTATCCCAGATGTGTCTTAGGTCAATTTTGCTCATGCTTCAATCTTATAAGTATCAGTAAACCATGGGTTTATTAAACATCACTCTGCTGATCATAATGCTTTGATGATGAATAGTATGAGCATAAATGCTAAATTTGAACTTTCGTCCATCAAAACAGCAATAAAGAATACGTTCTCCGATACAATTTCTAAAATTTTCGGGGTACATAAAATTTTATAAAGTCTTTTTTATATTGTCAAATGATGATATAATTTTCAGAATTTTTTAAAATTTGGCCACGAATGCTTTTTTAGAAAGCTAGGAAAACATCTTATGAATCCTTTGAAATGAATGATATTTATCAAGTGAGCACTCTTTTACCGACGGAACTTAGAAGTAACCAATTTGTGTATCATCGGTTGGAATGGATAATATTAACTTACAAGAGCCTGTTTTATTTCTTCAAAAATTTTTTACACACAACTTATTACCAATGTATGAAAAAAAATTTAAAAGATCATTGATTCAATTTTTAACTCTTGTATAACGATACCCCATTGCAAAAATCTGAAGTTTCATATTAGGAAAACATTTTCAAATTTTATTTAAAAAAAAAGCACTCCATTCATCAAAGACTAACGTCAGTAACATTTGAATTGTTCCATTTTCGTTCTGAGCATTGACCTAATGCACAAAGCACGATACCTCTTTTCATTTCTTGCCATACTTTTCCCATTAGCTCATTTGCATCGCGTTAGCATTATTTTATTTTATTTTTAGTACAGATGGCACAAACTGTCCCGATCATCAATTATAATCGGGGTTATTCACCTTGCAAAACGAGTCCTCAAGTCGGTGCTTTTTTTTTTGGTAAAAATTTTTTTCTCGCTCATTTTCTTCTCCGCGTGTGGGGTACGCAACACAAAGAGTTACAAGGCCGCTTGCGATCATTGATCGATGCAACATGTGCACCTTCAACTAGTTATTCATTTGTAAAATTAGTTTCCACCCAATTGCATTCGGAGTCAGTAGACATTTCAAAGATCAGCTTGCCAACAAGTTGAATTAGAAAAACGCACGAATAGAAAAATCGCAGCACGTGCTCCGACGATCGTCTAGTGCGAGCGAGAGACCTCAGAATACTATCGAGTCATTCCGATATCCAACGTGAGTGAAAAACGTGAATTAGCTCTCGCGCGCGCGCAAAGTGTTCGCGTATAATAGATGCGCATTCAAGGAGACTTACCTAGAAGAGAGAAAACAAGCGTAAACACATATAAAATTACCTTCTTAGATTATATCGGAGCATCCGAACACGACGCTTAGTATGCATTCGCCTCGATCGCTGAAATCAGCTACACACACCTGGATATATAATAACAACTGCATTGACGAACCTGCTTGATATTTCAATCCTGTCTTGACATCGTGAGTGCGTTGCCTCTCCGCGCGAGCTGCATCTTCTTTCAGTCCCATTGCTCCTTTTAATCGGAGAAGCTACTATATAAGACTCGATCTTGTCTTTCTCCTGCGCGCCACCAACACACGCGTCAATGGAAACTTTGTCGTGTCCTGGCACGCGACAACGGAGTATTGTTCGCGGCATTTTCAGATAGATTTTCGTTGTTATTGGACGCGATTCATCCGAGCTCGTGCAGTGCACAGGCGTTGAAGAAGTTTAAATATTTACGTGGTTATTCGATTCGAGTGCTCATCATGACGTGTGCTTGGATTTTACTCACGATCGTTTGCTTTTCCATTTTGACGGTGTTGGGTCAAAGGACGCATTTGGATGCGCCTCAAAATATCAAACTTCTGCGAGCTTTTAGACAGTGGACCACAAAAGTTATAGGTTTGTTAAAATAGTTATTTTTTTAAGTAAAACTAGAGATGTTCGCTCATTTTCCAACTCTCTGACGCGCTCTTGAATGACAATCGCCCGCGGGCGAAACTTGCACGTTCTGAACGAAGAAAAGTGATTGGTATGATATTACCTTGACATCTCAGTCAAGAATTGAATTACAGGTAATCATGGGGAAATTTCGAGAGGTTGGGTAAAATAAGTGTAATGATAGATCGGGCTTATCGATTTTTCACCAGTGAACTATAATATTAATTTTGTCTCAACGGGTGCATAAAATTTGAGATTTAAATAACAAAAACTTCTGACGCGGTTATCTAACAGTAATTTTTCTTCACTCACATTGTTTTGCGGAGATTTTCAAGCAGCTCTTGAATATATTTGTAATAATAAATCGTTTAACACGATCGTTTTAACATTTGTATTAATTTTTATTGTAGGACGAACAGGAAAAAATGAGGAACTTTTAACACATGCCAGAAATCTAAAGCGCCTGCAAGATTATATCAGTACACCATTCCCATGTGATGTTTCGAGTAAAGTATAAAAAAACTATTTTCAATTATCAAAACTATGTTTTTTTTCTTTAACATAAAACTATAATTATACTTGCGAATCAAGTTTCTTAGAGCATTTTTTCATTCGTGAAAATATTCAGAATTTTTAATATATCTGTCATTAATTAAACTTCAATACAAAACTACTATTTTACTGGTAAAACGAAGTAAGTATACACTTTTTTCATATATAATGTACTAAAATTGTATTGCACTCTAGCACATCATTATTTTTATGGCATTAGCTGTACGCTACTACTTTTTATACAATTGGTATGATATCAACACAAATGACGTCATGATTCTTAGAAAAAGTAATATTCAAACGTGATTTATGGTCAATTTTCGCTTGTAAAAAATGGTAAAAAAGGCTCTTTGAAACTCATTAAATGTATTCACAAAGAGAACTTAAATAAAATTAACTATGCTACATTAATTTTCTTGTTGACAGTCGATATTTGATCAAAAAAATACAACAAACAAAAGCAAATAAAACAAAAGTAACATTTTATTTTCAATTCATGCAGATGGTAGATCTCCGAAAGTTCCTAAAACAGTTCACGAACTCAGACCCGGCGACATCGACGTTATCGGTGCAATGGGCGATTCTCTAACAGCCGGTAATGGAGTATTCGCGAGTAATATTTTGCACGTTCTAATGGAAAATCGAGGAGTCGTGGCAACAGGTGGAGGTCAAGGCAATTGGAGAAAGTATCTTACCCTTCCCAATATTTTGAAGGTAAAATATTTCGATCACCTATTATACTCTTGAATTCGATGTCTAAACATTATTATCTTTAATTATCTAGGAATTTAATCCAAATTTGATTGGATTCGCTACGTCCGACGCCTTTACTTACGAGAAAGCGTCCGAATTCAATGTCGCCGAAGGAGGAGCAATGTCGCGCGATATACCTTACATGGCTCAAGCTTTAATCAATCGAATGAAAAGCGACCCTCGAGTTGATTTGAAAAAGCATTGGAAGGTTAACAATTCAAGTTTATCCTCTAAGGATTGAGAATCGGCTTTATTTACATTTTTGTTTTCCACATCGCAGATGGTTTCCATAATGATAGGCGCTAACGATTTCTGCACCGACATGTGCTACCTGCCAAAGGCTTCCGATACACTGTACAATCACAAAAAAGATCTACTGCAAGCTCTCCGCTTACTAAAGAGCGAAATGCCTAGGACCTTCGTCTCGGTGATACCACCACCGCACCTACAGCTTCTGGTAGACATGACCGGACGATCGGCTTTTTGCGAGATCACCGTCGACTTTGAGTGCTCGTGCTTGCTTGGTCTCACCTTCAGAGATCGCAGACAAGCCTACTACGACATAATGGCGCAGTGAGTTTGATTCTCGGACTTAATTACCTTACCTTGCATCGAATTTTCATGCATCTTAATGCTCGTATGTGTCAACGTTTGAACGTCATTTGTGAGATCTCTCGCTTCTTTATCCTCTAATAATTGATATTTACAAGCTCGTTTATATTCAAAAATCTTGACTGTGAAATAGAACAGCTACGGAAAAATTTTCATCGACTTTCACTGCTCGTGTCAAAAGTTTCAACGCGTGTGAAATCGGGATTACCAGTTTAGAATCAAAAACAAGCCCCGGAGAGCTTTAATGTCAAACTGCACCGATATATTTGATCCTTGAGGCGATCGATAATTAATTTTTCATTATAATGGCTAAATGATTTAATACCTATCATGTAATACTAAAATACCATTCATTTCACACTATAATGTTTTTTCAAGATGGCATAAGTTAGAGGAAGAAATAGCTATGTATCCCGAATTTCAAACGAACGATTTTGCCGTAGTTATTCAGCCATTTACGACCAATCTGACGTTTCCAGAAACTTCAGATGGAAAGTCTGATTTTAGTTATTTATCGAGCGACTGTTTTCACATAAGTCAAAAAGGAAACGCAAGAGGTATACAATATATATAATGAAATTAAAAAAAAACATTTTAAATATTCGCTACAGCTAATTTTCAAATTTTTCAGTTTCGAATGCATTGTGGAATAACCTACTGCAAGCGGTGGGTGCTAAATCTCGCAATTGGAAAAATACTTTCGAGGAATTTCTTTGCCCAACTGAACGTAGGCCGTTCATAGCAACGCCAAAAAATTCAAATATCAAAATATAAATATTTTAAAGTTACTGATTTGATCCCTTCAGAAATATTTTAAAGACTGAAGATGAATCATAACTAACCTTTCAAGAAAATAATTAGTTGATTCAGTATTATGTATATGAAAATATCAGCACTACGTAAACTTTTGATTCTTCAAATTTGTTAAACAAGTTGAGTCGTAAACACCAAGAGTGTTGTTTACAAAAAATCACATTGTATTTTAATAACTTGGTAATATACTGTCATCTACCTTGATATAAACTATGATTGTCATATTATATAATACTTTTTTTTGTAAAATCTAGAATCAAATGTTTTGTAAGTTTTGAGCGAATGTTATTGTTAATGGCAATACATTATTTGTGATTCATAAATGTATTAATAGAAATAATTTTCGTAACAGATGGTTGATCAATAGTTTTATTTGTAAACTAGTTCACATCTTTTTTCATCTTTTTTTATGGAGAAAAATAATTATTTAAATTGAAAAATAATGATTGTATCAACTTTTAAATATTACGGTACAAATAAAATCAAAAAGAATGAAAAAAAATGCTATATTTATAATCGAAGTGGATTGATAGAAACATTTCGAAAAGCACGGCATAATTAACCCTGTTATGATTCTCGCAATCAATTAATGCCATGACTGAAAACGAACTTATACTTTTCATAAACACATTGAGACTCGCATTGAGAACTCGGGGTTTACTGGTTGTCGGGAAGATGTTCGGGAATGAGTATATTCTTGTATTTTTATTCTTCGACGGTTGTATTTATAATCGTATATATGGGTATTGGGTATGAGTGCGACAATACTGCCAAATTCATAACATTTTTTTTACTCAATTAATATTAAATTCATGAAAAAATAATAAGGAACTAAAAGTTATTAAAATCAGTCAAAGCGTAAAAGCGAATTTTTTGTATTTTTTATTTTGTGAACATGCGATCGGAAGTCCAAATCAACTTAGCTCTTGCAATTTTTTTTATCTTTGTAAATAACTGAAACGAAGTAGCTGGTGCAGTATTTTGAGAATCCTTTATCTTACAGCTGCATACGAAGATTTTACTATAATTTAATGTTGTATTTTTATTCGATTTTATTACAATTCTATTAGTATTGTTAAAAGATATATTTCGTAAGATTTCCCTTGGGCTAAAATGATCAGAGAATCAGCATAGGGTGTTGAAGTCGAGAAAAGCTCTCTGAGGCTTAAAATAGGTATCGAGGTGTTTATATCAGTGTTTTTGTGTATTTCTCGATGTGTCATTTGGTGCAGAAAATTTCGCTAATCATTTTCGCATAAGCTTGATAGTTTGCGAGAAATAATCAATTCGAATGTTTAATTTCGACGATTTCTTCACAACTGAATTGCTTGTACCTTGTAACCTATCGAGTTCAAAAAATAACAGCAGTAATTTTTTTAAGTGACTCAAAGATTCCAAAAAAACATAACATTAATGTATTGATGCATGTACAACATTACGTTGATTAAAATTAAAATTCAATAAAAACATATTGTACCTTGAATAGTTTCCATAGTCAAATTAAATCTAGAGTAATTGTAAAATATTAAATCTAATAAAGTAACGGCATAAATGATATTTCATAATACTTGCGAATTGGCGTCAATTATACGCGTAACTACGGTGTATGAATAAAATCAATTGTCATTTCAATTTTGACGTATACAACAGGTTTTAAAAATGTAAAATAGCAATTTACAATCATTTTACGCTCAACCATCAATCATTGACATTCGGTAATACCAATATAAGCCGTATCAGTACGAGTACACGTTCGCTCAAGTACTCGAGGATTATGCGTATTATTTGCTCGACACTCGCGCGGAGATGGGTTTTTCATCTCTCGCCTTCAAACGGGGCGGCCTGTTGAAAAACACTCGTACGAAGGTACACTCTCGCGTGTCCGCGTTAAACGGAGCCGAATCGATCACGTAATGAACTTGCCAATCAAAAAAGCCAGCGAAAAAGAAACCACCTTTCGTGAGAGAGACGATGATGCCGCGCGCTCGCCGCCGCCGAGAGCTGCGTTGTAATGCGCGGCTTTCGCGATACATATAATATATAAGCGATCGCGGCCGGCCTCGCTCACCTGTATTACATGCGTGTATAATATACACCGCCGACGATCGCGTGGATGACCGCGAGCTTGCAGCGGCGGCGCGACAACAGCGCGGGGCAAACGAAAATTTGAAATTGCCAAAGAGGAAGGGATACAGCAGCAGCCTACGTGAGTGCTATATACACATTTCGCGGGGACCACCTCTTCTCGTTTCTCTCTCGGCAGCAGCAGCAGCAGAAACAGCAACAGCAGCGGGCGCATAGCCGGGGGATTTCTGCTGGGCTCGTATGTCTTCGCAGTTCCGATACGTATATCATTCCGCGATCGACGTCTCGAGCTGCCGAAGCTGTCCACCTCGTCGTGTGCGTGCGTGCCGTATGATCCCTGTGCATCACAATGGAAAAATATACGGGGCAATTTTTTCTCGAGCGATCGCGACTCTGACGATGGTTCGCTGATTAATTTTGCATATACCAGATCGAGCCGATCCAAGGCCAAATCGTTACGATTCTTCTTCCGTGCGGTTAAACGCGAGTTTTGAACTCGCCACGAAAATCATTAAGAAAGAAAAAAAGTTCGACGGTGCAAACTGGCAGGGTGCTGTTCGACAAATATAAATAAGTTATATTTATTTTTCGAAAGTTATCGACGACGATTGCGCGCACACACCGCTTGGAAAGTCCAACGCGTCCCGCAAGTGCAGCAGGTAAGAGTCTTTGACGCTACGCTTTATGAATGTTAAGACACGCGCGATATTAAATATTAACTTGGTTTTTTTTTTGGTCGTAACTTTTACTATTTACATAATGGATCTATTCTACTCTGTTCAAGCTCGAAGAATTGATGTGTGATCCTTTGAAATTCGCATGGTTTCGGCGTGGAAAGAATGTACTTTTGAAATATTGTTCCTTTGATGATGAATCGATCAAACGAATAAAAAATTTTCGTTTTATTTCTAAATTCAATTGTAAGTAATCAGATGATCGAAATAGAAAATCAAATTATTGCACTCAATCGTGTAACTTGATACTGCTTAGCAAAGCTATAAAAAGCATAAAAATCTTCACATTATTTTTAGGAGAAAAAAAATTGATCCTCCGCGATTCGCATAAAAAGTTTCGTAAGCGTCGTAACGGAATATTTATTATTATTGACTACAAGTTGTCCCGCTTGACAAAAGCATCACACGCACGTGTGTGTGCACTTTCCTTTCTTTTTTTTAACCTTAATATAGTCTAGATTCTATACCAGCGTTTAATGATACTTTATCATCATATAATGCTACGAAGCGATTATAAGTGATTTAAGTACGGCCGGGCTCTGTGCAGCTTTTTATATGTGCTTACGTTGTGTTTGCAAATTACACGTATTCCTTACGCAAGGCACCTAAAACTCGAGCCGGCGTGATACTTGAACTTACATACTCAAATTATTTTTTACGTTATAAAATTAACGTTATCTCCTTTATAATGATGCTTGTGTGTGTGCACGCCATTGACCTGAAAAATTATATTTTTCACCTTACGCTCAATTTCGTTACAACTGCGACGTGATGCTGTACCGAAATCTCATTAAATTATTTCTGGAAAAACAGTTTCTTTCTCACTTGTGCTATTATATGCCGCCGTGTATTATTATACGGTCAGGGACAGCCGCGCGAAATTTTTCAACTCGAAATTTTGCAATTTTCACAGTGTAAATTTTCATCTCTTTTTTTTTCGTTCACTCGCTCTCCCGTTGAAAACGAGTACCCACGTATGCTGGACAACGCAGCTAAAGTTTGACACTTTCCATTTCCTTTACCGAGTACTCGCGCGGCGTGAATCGATGGGGCATACTCGAGTGTATAGCGTTGACAATTAGCCGCGGCATCGAGTAAATGGTTCACGTATGAAATTCACGTTCTAGCCGCGCGCGGCTATTGTCATTTCAATGAATAATGATAAATAAACGCTCGACTTCCGTCGCAGCTCTGCCCCATATATATGAGGAACTCTTAAAATCATTTCGGAATCACCATAAGCGGGAGAAAATACGAGCCGGTTGTTATGGAGTAACAAGTATAGTTTTTACGGGCAAAAAAAGTAAAGAGAGAAAAAAGAAGATTCGTGGCCGGGTGTGAACGGAGTCGCATCTCTGGCTGCTCTCGAGTCGAAGATGAAAAGAGCCTCCGCTATACGTACGGACATCGATAAACAGTCGTTTAAGGCAGACGCGGTAAAACGTTTCGAACGTATAATACGCGCGTATACACATACTTTTGAAACGTGCACGCGCGCGTACACAATTACTCATTAACGAGTCTCGCGTCGTCGTCGTTTCGCTCATATTATGCACCGTCCGTGTACGCACGCGAGGCGGTGCATTATATGCGCGCTAAAGTCATACCTCGTTCAAAATCGTTCGTTCTGTTTACTTCTGCAACGACGACAACAGGCCATGTCGCGCCGAGAAAAACGCCGCAGACGCCAGCGATTCACCTAGCGACAAGAAAAAAAAAGGAGAAGAAGAAGAAGAGGAAGAAGTTGAGATGGCCCGGGGATTGCTGCTGCTGCTACTACTTTCGAGCTGCTGAGGAACCGCTTCGAGAGAGCGAGAGAGATTTGCGTCCAGTGCGAGTTGCAGCGGCGGTGGCGGCTTCAACGCAAACGCATTCATACACACACACGAGCGAGCCGAGAGAAAGAGAAAGATATTTCGGAGGTGATTCGGAGGCCCTCGGGGCAGCTGAGAGAGTGCGAGAGAGAGAAAACCGGGAGCGCGCGCGACATGAGGCGCAGCAGCGGTCAGCATCCGATGCAGCAGCAGCAGCGACGACGGCTCGCCCGTCGTCTACCGATCGCGTTACTTCTTCTGGCTGTCGCTCTTCTGCTGCCGGGGCCCGGGGACGCGCAGTACTCGTCCCTCGCCGAGTCCATCAGATCGTTCCTCGCTTCTGGATCGGTAAGTGCGATCGTCATCGTCATACACTATGCTTTATTTATATACATATACACGATATACGCGCGAGCGCGTCGTTATATTAGCGATATAATACAAATTCGAGAACGTCGGAAGTACATGTATTATTAATGAACTGTAAGCCGCAAGGATGCGAAAGATCGGTATACATATATACGTATAAACTCCAATGGATCGGCTTCGTTGGTGGCGTGCACGCGCGATCGCGAGCTCGTTGATCATTGATCGATCGACTTGTCCGTTATATACACAACGAGAGAGAGAGAGACGAGATTTAATATGTAATAGCTCGTGTTTCAATTATACGATTTACGCGTGTATAATATCGGCATATACATACGTGCTATAGATCGCGGTGCGCGCTGTATTCCATATACCGATCTCTCGTTTTGTGCGCGCGCCCAAGCAAGCCGCTGCCTGCGCGACTGCACACGCAGAGCAGTCGGTGAGCGCTAGCAGAGAGAGAAAAATATCGATGTCTGTGCTGCAAACTTGAGTGTATGCTTGTGTTTTTGTGTGTGGGTATATACCACCGTGTGCACATGTGTATATGAATATAAATAATTCATGAAGTCGGCAACGGCAGCAGCAGCAGCACACGGTGTATTACGTAAACGGCGACCCTGACGGAGAAAGTGGTTGATTCGGAGAGTTCGCGCGGAAAAGAAGCTGCCGCGAGCCGGCTCCGCATTCGAGCTTGTATATATGCGGCGCAGAGACGGATCGGGCGGCGCGGATAATTACCCGCGGACCGACTTTTTCGGGGCGACGGATCGAGAAGGCATGTGCGTCCGCGTCCATAAGCGCACGTGTGACGCATTTCGTTCGCGTCAGGGGAATTCACGCGCACGGACACACAACAAATTGAGCCGCAGCGCAGTCGCCACGAAAACAACCATCACCCGATTGCGTTCGAGCGTGTGCAGTGCCCCGAGCGAAGATTCGCGTCAAGTTCGGCAATTTCGGCTGCTTATATATATTTCACACGTGTGTCGGTGCGCGATCGATCGGCGGAAACGCGACGCCACGTCCGATCGACGAATTATTTTGAAAAGAGGACTCGAGCCGTCGAGTACTTGCATCTCGAGTTGGCGCGCAATCCTCCAATTCTCGAGTGCCTATACTACCGTGCGAGTATAGTAGGACCGCGCGCTGATGATCGTGCTGTGCAGTACACGCGTCGCACAGGAGGTTTTCTGGCTCTGGCGCAACACCGGTAGTACAAAATAGTAGTAGTAATATTGGCTCGTGTGTCTACGTCAAAGTCGATGACTCTCTCGCTCTCGTATACGTATTAGCTGCTTAGGTATTCATGCAACACAAGACGCGAGGACATAACGAAAAGCTTTATGCGCCACGCGGCGACTTTTATGCCAGCTCGGGCGCGCTCGCGATGCAAATATATACTATATATAAGCGCGCGCGCGACGAAAGAAAGCATGATTGAGCCGAGCGTGCGCGCGAGCGTCTCAAATGTGCAATGTCTCTAGCCTAAAGCTGTCCTGCAATGCCCACACACACAGACACACACACAGTCCGAGAAGCCTCTATTCCTGATCCTGCTCGGCTCCTCTTTAATAGCGTGTCTGTGTATTGTTGAGTCTCGCGGTTAGCCGCATGCAGCACACACGCGTATATACTAGCTCGGCTCTGGCCTATACCTGCGGCCGGTGAAAGCATCTGCCGCGCAGTCTTTAGCGCACCTCGCCAACTCGTTATACATACGTATCTATGTGTGCGAGTGCATGTGCCGCAACAACACACGAGTCGTGACCCCGAGGCGAAGTATAAGCACCGGCTTATGGTGGCACCGCGTCGTATACAGCGCGGGCTCGAGCCTTGTAACACGGACGCAGCGCATCGGCGCTTAGCCCTGCCGCGCTTGCAAATGGATAATACGACTCGACGAGGAGTCGTCGTAACCAATTACACAAACGCGCCTTGGAGTTTTCCGCGCGCAGTACCCGCCGCCGCTCGCGTGCTTAATACGTCTGTGCGTGTGTGCGCGCGTATGTAACGCCTCATCGCACACATAGAGGCACAGACACACCGCTCATCTCATTTATATATATACATGCACGTTTCCGCTCTCTTCTTTCGCGCCTGTACATATATCACAATATTATAACGTACGACTGCCCGCATATAATATAACGTTTTTATCTCGCGGCTCGCCGCCGCCGCCGCTGCGGCTTTCCGTTGTGTGTTCGCGAGTAAAAGCTCGATCGTCGCGATATAAAAGGTAATCGAGAACTAGTCGCGGATTCATCGAGCGGATATCCAGAGAGAAACGGCCGAAAAAACAAAGGAGTAAATTAGCTTCGCGTATCGCTGACATCGTTATTACGCAGCCCTTGAACGCAGCTCCGCAACCGATTTCGAGCTTGCGTAACGCGTCGTTCGGACTCCCAACGAATACAACGATTCGATGTACGACAAATTAATTCGTTAGCTCGCGCGCTGGCAGGAATCCGGAAAATTAGAAAAGCTCTCGGCCAAGTTTTCCTTTTTCGTGCATCATCGTCGTCGTCTCCGTCGCCGCGTCATCGCCGTATCATCGTCGCGTTATATACAGCTACGGCGCTCGTCTATACGTATACAGGCAGCTGCATTCGAGACGCAATACAAGCGTAACTAACGCGGTAATCGTGTGCGGACTTTATGTATTAGGATAAGCGCGTGACGCAGCTGATGTGCAGCGGCAGCAGCAGCAGCAGCAGCAGCTGAGATCGCGAGGATAATTCGCACGTCCTATTGTGCGCCGAAGACGACGACGACGACGACGAGTCATATACGTGCTGCTTCGTATGTAACAAGTTGTGTATAGTCGTTGCTGCGAATACGTGAGGTAGTAGCGGGCCATTGAGGATAGATGCCATCTTTATGCAATAAACACTGCTGTTCACGCACCTACATCAGTGCTGCTGCTGCTGTATTATTATATATACCTGCTTGTGCATGCTTCGAACCGTATAATGTAACCGTTATGTATATAGCTATACACGTGTGTTTGCGTGTGTGTGTGTGTGTGTGCCTTATATACTACTTACTATATCGCATTGGTTTTGGTTGCAGAGCGACTTGGAGGCGGAAGGTATATCGCTGTACTATCCAAAAGTCGAGTACGCCGTAAGGAAGCAGCGAGTCGTCGAGCCGAGCGTACCTTTCCCTTGCGATCTTCGCAACGCCAGGTAAGCCAGATTCACTTCGATATACATTATATACACACATGCACGCATTTTGGGTACACTCACGCGTATTACAGCACTTATATCCATATATTTTAAAGATTACTCAAGCCGCCACCGCGAAGAGTATATATATAGGCATATCTGGAATCCGGATAAGTGCAAGTGTGTGTCTGTATATGTGCCTATCGCGCGCGCGCGAGACCAGGAAGTCGATGCTCGACTTCAGATTAAAACTCCCTCTCGGAGGTTCTTTTTTTTTATACCTGTGCTATTCAACAGCATCCAACGTATCTGCAGTCGAACTTATACCTATACCTATACATTTGTGTAATATACTCCTACGTGCAATATATAGATTATGGGAATCGTGCCGCGAACGCGCTGATTAGCAAACAATCGCGAGTACGATTCTGTACGGTACGATCTGAATTCGAGTTTATCGTGGCTTAATTAATGAAGCGGTCGCACTTTTTGGTTATCGACGAATCGGAAACCAGTCGTTGCTCATCGAGATAATCTTTTTTTTCCTTTTTTCTTTTTCAAAAGTATGAAAAGGACGCGAAAAGTTCGAACGATTGATTTCGGTTTTAAAAATTATACTGCATTTCTGAATAAAATCAGTGTGATAAATCAGTGTGATAAAGTATATTAAAAAAATTAATGATTTCAATTCTGAATGAAATTTATTTATTTGAATCGTATGGGGAATCTATTTGAATGATATTAACAAAAAAAAAAAAATACTGTAAACATGCTTAGTAACATCGAGAGCTTTGACCTGTAGCTGACAAGCGAATACGCCGTAAATCTTCGTTCTTCGGATTCTCGAAGATCGTGTCGCAGCAGAGAATCGGCAGCCGATAGCGCGTCAATTCCAAGAAAGATCCCAATGCCCATCGCCAGAAAAATGTTCTTGATAGCATCTCGCACAGATAAACAGCACACGGCTCACTAGGCCCTTTAGGCAGCTTACACAAATCGCCCGAGTGCGCGAACTCGAAGTATTCCTTTGATGTGAGAACATTTTTCGCCTTCTCGGTCCGTAACCGGATCAAGTCGTAGAGCGACAGATTCGAACTCACCATTTGATGTTTCGACTTGCTCGTAAACTCCTCGTCGTTGTAGTATTTTTCGATATTCGCTGACTTTTCGAACAATCTGTACTCGACGAATAATGCCATGATCGTAAGGGTATCGCTACGGTTCAGCTCGTATCCTTTTTTCTCAAGACTTTCGATGATGATCAGAGCGCCAGACGCTATAGTCTCAATTTAAAATCGAGCGAAATTTCGTATTGACGCTGTTCCAATCCCTTAGCGTAGTAACTCGAAATAGGAAAAACGAAGCTGTATATATCGGCACCATTATCCAGTAGTGCATCTACTTCGTGCGGCATTACATTCGCCACATAATCGCCGCATAATCGATAGGTTCATAGCCCTTGCAAATAGTGTGCAAAGGAGTCGATCCTTCGTTCTTTGTCGAATTTGCATCGGGCACCTTTTCTCAACAGCATTTCCATCATTTTTTTGTTGCCAAAGTACACGGCCAAGTGCAATGGCGTCTCACCGTACTTGTCCCGGGCATCGAGCTGCTCTGGCTGATATCTTTCTTGGCTAAACTCGAACAACATTTCCGCCATGTATCTTTACGTGTTCGCCCTTCACAAGCATCTGCAGCAGCGGTTTGATGGATTTTTGTGCGAGGCAATTGGAATCCTGGCCGAGTTCGATAAATTTCTCGACTTCTTTGTAGCAGATATTCTTACAGGCTACGTGAAAGTGCGTTAGGCCGGACTCATTGATGTAATTCACGTTGAACCTTTTGTATATGTTGAATAAACGCAGAAGGGGTTGCATTTAGTCGCATGATGCAGTGCTGTGGTGCGACACGACAATGGCTTGCCGTCCTTACAAAGTCAACGATTAGAACTTCGAAGTCGGGCCCGATGTCCTTCACATCCTCTATGAGAATCCAATCAATTGCTTCGAGACGAAAAATGTCCCAGAGGTTAGGAAGTTGACCCTTCCAATCACTGACTAAGGGATAAAGTTCATCAAGAAGATCATTTCGCTCTACTTCGTTCTCCCAATTGACTTTTTCTCGCACACTCTTCAATTTCACTATGCTGTTTTGGTCAAGATGAATCACGTCTTCGGAATTATTGTCTTGTATTTCATCGCCTGTACCCACCAAGGTCGCGAAAACGTTCATCGGATTCGTCGTTGGAAGATATTTCAATCGTTCGACGCCCTCACACCCAACACACAATCGTTTACAATATAAAACTTAATTCACTTTTTTCTCGGAAATCGCTTACGACAGTCGATGCGATCTTCTTTGATTGTTTGCGTTGTAACATCGTAACGTGTACTGAAGAACTGATCCTCTGTAGTCTGCATCTACAATAGGGATTAAACGACGCATGTGACGTCCCGCCACCAATGGCCAATACATGAAACCGTGGACACCGCTTCATGTTAACACTAAGAATAACATAGTAAAGAAGCAACGTGTATGGAGCAGTTGCACTTCGAGAGATGTAAATTATCGTCTCAATGTTTAAACTTTGAGATTTAGACGATAACTTTTGTACGAAAAATTATCATGAATAATTGAAGGATTGATATAAATAATATCAAGCAAATTCTGCATTTGCTCGCACGTAAGACTCGCGAGCTGCACACTCACGATACGCATGTATGCAAGCAAATTAATTGTGAAAGTTATTATTTCAACGCGAGGCATAAAATTATGCCTGCGCGTGAATATGTTGTTTTTTTTCTGCATCGTTAACAAGAGTGACATCATAATAATGCGATAGTTAAAAACCAAATTACGTAAAAAAACAACAGCATAACGTTATTGTATTAACCTTAATATTTCGAACACTATACGGTTATGCTTGCGAGCTTTCTCTTGGGCATTGTGGCCAGTGCAAGAGATATATAAGTTCGGAAAAGAACAGAACCGATGACCTGAATTGGTGACAAAGAGAAAAAAAATTCACCTTTTTTTTTACGTATGCATACCGCGCGTACTCGAAACCGCGCGTTAATTGATTGTAACGTGCTATCCGCTCTCTGCATGATTAAATCATATGTTTAAATCGGGTGTTATGTTTAATGCACGCGATTTTTCTTATTTCGAAATCGTACAGTGACGTACGCACGTATGGTATATACCCATGGTGCTAAAAATTATTGTCGCGCGGATGTAATACAAATTAATAATCAACATGTATCACGTTTAATTATGTCACTTACGGAAAGATTTTAGGAACTATTCATCTTCGAAAATTTACAATCTAGTTATCGAGCAGCGCTGCGCGCGAACAGATTAAAGGCACATTTTTTAACTTGCCTCGAAGCCAACGAATTCTCGACGATTAGCATACAACATCGACCTTCGTCAAAAGTGGAATTCGACATTGTGGAAAAAAACGTGTCGTGGAATCGTCTCTTTTTATACGCTATTATTTGTCCATACATACGTATATTTTTTTCCCTCCGAAAATTTCGTTTACTTTCGAAAAGAGAAAAATAAATTATAATAAAGCAAACGCGCGCGAATATTTGATGAATAATTCAGAGTTATATATATTAATCGAGATGCAGACTTGCAAAGGACATCTCGTTTTAATAACGTATAAGTCGGGCGTGGAATCGTTACGTTCATTTAACAAATATTACGCAATTGTATTCGTATGAAATAATAAGAAAGAGGCGTAATATCGAACGAGCGGGAGTTGAATTGTAATCGCGCGACGTTATCGCCGAGTGCAATGGATATGTCATTAAAATTTTATCGTGTATTTATGCGCGCGTCCGACCGAGGACTAAACCGATATCACCAGTACTCTGACCTCAACATTGCTCGGGCCGCGATTCCAGGGATGCTTCATCGGTATCATATGGCGCGGCACCGAGATCGAATTAAAATACCGGAACAGTATTTCATTCTTCGAGACTAAACAGAAAAATATTTATTTTCGTACTGCTAAGATAACTTTTAAATATTGAAAAAGAATTATTTATGCGTACGAAAATAATTCTTGATAGATATCGTATAACTGCAAGTTTTCTTGTTTAAAGTGAAAGAGATAATTTTGATTGAAATAGCGAACAATTTTTATCGTCTCGCGTAAACACTAATATAATTATAATATTATTACACGATCGACAGATCACCGACACCGCCTACGAGCGTTCATCGTCTAAGACCCGGAGATATCGACGTCGTCGGAGCTCTTGGCGACTCACTCGTAGCTGGAAATGGAGCTTTGGAAGAATTCGCCATCGGTACGTTCATCGAGGCACGAGGGGTCAGCTGGTGCGCCGGGGGTCAAGATAACTGGAGAAAATACCTGACCGTGCCGAACATTCTCAAGGCAAGCGATCAAGTTCATTATACCGCCACGAGTCTCTGAGCGTTGCTTCTTCGAACTCTTCGAAAGATATTATTTTGTTTTGTTTTTTTTTCGCCCAGGAATTCAATCCCAAGCTGACGGGCTACGCGACCGGCACCGGCGAGTTCATATCGCGCAAGGCCCGGCTGAACATCGCCTTCCCGGTGGCCGCCGCGGAGGACGCCCTGCACCAGGCCAAGATCCTCGTGCAGAGGATCCGCAACGATCCCGAGATCGACGTGCGCAAGCACTGGAAGATGATCACGATACTGTTCGGGGCCAACGACGTCTGCTCGGCCCAGTGCTACAACCCGAAGAAGTTCTCGCCGATCCGCTACGCCCTCCATCTGCGCCGCACCCTCGACTTTTTGCGCGCCTCGCTGCCGCGCACCATCGTCAATCTCGTGCCTGCCGTGGGTACGTTAAATCTAAACTCGACTCGATACTTGTAATTTTTCATTGAATTCCAACGAATCTGTACTAAATTTTTATACGATTCGTGTACATATATAGACGTGACGATATCGTTGCGAGTGTCGGTGCGCAGCGTCATGTGCAGCATACTGCATCCCCTGTACTGCGCCTGTCTGCATCGTGGCAATCGGCCGGACCTCACCGCGTCGAAGATGTCGCAGATGTATCAGCAAGCGGCCGAGGCTCTCATTGCCTCTGGAAGGTAAGTCGCGCTCGCTCGATTTTCATATATTATACACTATGGACGCGATCGGTAACGATAATTTCTGCTCGCCTCGACCGATTTACCGATTGTTATATATAACTCTTGTTGTTGTTGATTGTCAGGTACGACACGTCCGACGACTTCACGGCCGTGCTGCAGCCGTTCACGAAGCTGTTCAACTCGCCCAAAGCGGACCCGTCGAGGGGCCTACCGATCGACGCGAATCTCGTCACCCACGACTGCTTTCATTTCAGCCAGAAAGGCCACGCGCTTGGTAAGTCACCGTGCGTCAGCTCTCTGCCTTGACCGCGGTCGAAGAGATCCATACTGTATAAGAAATCGGCGCGCGTTCGAAAAATGAGAAAAAGTCGAGAGAGTAAAAGAGAAATGCTGCTGCTGCACGGATCAATGTACTTTCCGAGATGCTCGCGTGCTGAGTACGTGCACAACATGTGCATTTTACAATAAATTGGCATTCATTGTCAGTGAGCGATTGTAACGAGAAAGAATAGGGTCAGATTCAGCGACCATAAGCACATATACTGCAAAGTTCAAGAATCGTTGCACGCGGCGAGAGTGATGAATGGCGAGCACAGACGTGCATCGATATCAACGCATATCGAGCCATTGAGAGAGGAAATGAGCCAACTTTTCACGCTCGCGACGATAAATTTTTATTATTAAACGGACAACGATTTATTTAATCGTATAAATAGCAGCGATAGAAGTAACAGCCAGACATTTCTTTGCCGCGAAAAGCACGTAGGCAGCTGATACGAGCGCGCGCGTGTGATTCAGTCGATGAGAAATCGGAAATAGTCGCGCCGACCAAGATGCGCTTTTTAAAGCTCGATAAAAATATAACAAGCTCTATGATGCCTTTTGCCGCAGGTGCCAATCTGCTCTGGAACAACCTGCTGGAGCCCGTGGGCAACAAGACCGATCAGGGCTTTCCGCGGATCTTCGAGAGGGTCCTCTGTCCGAGCGCCGCGGCGCCTTACATCTTCACCAACGTCAATTCCAGGAACTTTCTTCTCACTGGCAGTCAATAAATGTGTCTACAGTGTGTATAATGTCGCATCGCAGATATGCAGCTCTGGAGCTGCCTCGTCGTTCGACGATCGACCGTCGTCGAATTAATGTATCATTGAGGTCAACGTTTAGTTTTAATATAAAAAATCGCATATGTAAGCTCTCGTGAAAAAGGTTACGCGAACGAGAGACTCTTTTTATTTCATTCGTCTTGTACGGCTCTTCGTTGATGATACTTGATTTTTCTTGTTACTTACTGATCGATTGCTTATTGTGTGTCTGCCTGATTTGTATATATTACTGTATCTGTATATCTTAGGACTTGCTCGACGAGTTTCGATTGTAATTGTCCGAGTCTAGAAGTTAAATGTATAGTTTTACGATAAGGCAATAATTTTCTACTTTTTCATCATTAAAGTCAACCTAGCGATAGAATAAAATAAAATAAGTGATTGTTAATTACGAAAAACGACAATTAAGCCAAATTAGTTCATTTTTACCAATTAGCATTTACGTCCATCGATATATACGCGTTAACCGATTAAATATCAATTCGATAATTACCGACTCGCGCGCACCGCATCGCAACGCACACACACACGCGACAGTTCGTCGAAACGCAGCCCGGATGACATAAGCAGGCGGGCTCGTTCGACGCTTATCATTTAAATTACGTCAACCGGGATATAAAATAAATTAAAGCGTGGAAGAGCTTTTGCGAGCTTGTGGAGGGGCTAAATTTGTAGCTATGCAGCAGGCTTTGACGTCTTTGTAAATTGCACCTTATTGTGCTCGTTTGTACATATCATTATATGCTCGCGGTCCTCTCTCTCTCTCTATCATACGGACACACGTTAATTTTCGTTACATTCGGCGCACGACCGTTTTATTTTGAACTTCGAGTCGACGTAAGCATGTTGCTCGGTGTTGACGATGAGATGTGTATAATGAGTATAATAATGTGATCGATGGCGAGCGCGCGCGATTACGCTGTTTACCGCGAGGTCGCCAACTGTCCTTTGCCTCGGAGCTTAACATCACGCAAGCGAAGGATGATTCTTTGATCCTATTAGATAAACGAGGGTATAATATCTTGCGGTTTATAACTCATAGAAATGTTATTGTAATATTTTACGATAAAAGATGACAAGTCTTAATATCGATGTACTGCTGCACTCGGAGCTCGAAGTTATATTAAAACTTACGTAATGCCACGCTCGCCACGACATAAATTGTCGTTCTGCACTGGCCGATCGGCATATATTAGATCTTCGATCGGCCGATATTTGAATTTCGCTCATCTCCTCGGCAAAAGTCGTCAAATTATTGTATTAAATTGTCGGACGATCGACGCGTGCCGATTAGATACGTTTACACGAATTGACATGCACATATGGACGCGTGCGACTCGCGACGAGCGCGCATACAACGATGACGATCGCGAATTAGAAGGCGGAGCAGAAAAAAAAGGCACAACATCGTCCAGTTTATAAGCAGACTTTTTTGCCAATATTGTGTGTCGCGAACTACATATTTCTCCGCGTATTTCCCCAGTCAATTATAAATTCGTGCCAGTATTATGTAGCGATCGCGTTTCATGAGGAAAATTCGAATTTTCCGTATAAAAGTCTCTCAGCCTCGGCTCTCGTGTGTGTGTGTGTGACGCGTGGCTTATGTATTATGTGTATCGTAACGCGAATTAGCCGCTGCCGCTGACTGCCAGGTGACTCGATGATATTTTCCGGATTTTTTTTTGTTGCTTTCGTTAGCTGCTCGCGTGGCACGCCGCTGCGCGCTGATCGCGAGACCGATGCAAAACGACGGAGGCCGTGCAGCGCGGCCAACGCTGCATATATAATTATCTTTGCACGTACTCGAGAGATGCGCGCTACAGAGCAGACACTCGAGGCAACGAGTTGGATTACAGATGTCAACGGTCGAATGTTTGTATCGTCTTTGGTGTATATAACCGAGGCTTTTTTCTCTCGCAATTTGAGAGCGATAAAAGCGCGTGATTTCACATACATGCAGCAGTATGTACGAGATTCGATAGGCCCAAGGGCGCGCTGATAGCGGCGGAATATCGGTCGATAGCCTACTTGACGCGCATAATATGAAAAACCGTATCGATGCAGGCTGCACATCGGAGTGGTATTAAAGCCGAACGACGAGAGAATCGCTTATATGTGCACATCGACGACGTCTGACCCAATCCGCGACTCGACCCACGCGTACATTTTACATTATTTGTATTCTCCAGCCAGGCGATTATATTATTGACAACAATATGTATGTATTTGTGTGTGTGCGACTATAACGTACGGTCGGGGATTTTGCGTGCTTTCGTTAATCACCTCGAGGTTGCGATGTTATTCTATCGGTCGCACGTATTACATGCTGTGTACGTGTATATAGCTTCGAGTCTCGAAGGACAAGGTAGCGATCGCTCGCGTGCGAGGCCGCGGCGAGTCGTATAACACACACGTACATATATCAATGTGTCGCGGCAGCAGCAGAAGAGAAGCCGTTGACGATCTCGTGGGAATCTTATATATTATTATTATTAAATTTCCACTCTTCGCGCGCAAAGTAACGTCGCGTGTGTTCCAAGCCCCGACGTTGACTACGGAGCCTATGACGTTTGTATACATAGGTGCAACGTATGTTGCGTGCGTATCGATGATCATATGTGCTCGAGTTATCAGTCACAGACTCGGAGGCGTCGGCGACGATTGCGAGCTTACGATTATACACACGTATATAAATTTGATTTCCACATTTTTTTTTTCGTTTGTTTACAAACTGAATAATATATAACTTGGAGCTTGAGCTAATACAAACGGCGCCTTTATAACGCGCGCAAGTGAATCAAGGGGGTTTCGTTATTTGCCTCTGCGTGTACTTATAATACTTTAATTTATATCGCTTGAGAAATTTAATTTGGAATACGTGCCTCGAGGCTCGACTGCTCTCGGATGTTTACTCGTATATTGTATATTGGCGGATAACAATTGCGGAAATACGCCTATCTTCCTTTTTTTAAACTTACATTATAATAACGTATGCTCTTTACGATCGTCGAGTGCAATAGTCGCGAGCTCGCGGCGATAATGAGGTATAAACGAGCGAAGAAAAAATAGCTCAAACGGAAAAGGGGGGCTGACTCGCGCGCGCGTGTGCAACGTCTCGCGCTCGCGACTCGATTGACCTATACGCCGCGATACGCTCGACGTTTATAACAATATCGGTATTATAATTCGAGAGTCGGTGAATCGACGCGTCGATTATTTTATTAAACTTGCGTGAATTCATTTATATTTTATTATAGATCGTTGGCATAAATGTTATTATGTATGCAGACATACAAGCGAGAGAGCTTACAATCGCAATTGCCAGGGGTCACACGCGTCGTTGCTTATAAGTATAATACAAGTCAGTTAGTTTTAAAGACTTTTTTTGTCTCAATTTTTTTTCTCGCACTCCTCGTACGATGCGACGAAAAATCTCAAAGTTCGCGTCTTTCGACGATAAGCTCGAGTTTAAAAATGTCCGTTTATGCAACATCCTCGCAGTAGCAGATAACCGATAGTTCATAAGAGCAAAGTATATAACTGGCAAAGTCCTCGTCTAATTATAATAGATAGTGCGGCGCAGCTTTTTCCTCTTTCGTACGAATATATATAAAGTACATACGGAGAATCGAACGGCTCAGATGTACGCGGCTGTTACGCGATCTTATATCAATTTTAAGAGGAACATAATGCTCGGTGATATATTTATAAAAGCTGCTCAAGCTTATCTAATTTCTTTATCGGTCAATACGTAGCCGTGGGTTAATACCTCCCTCGATGGGCATACATGTACGAATGTCTCGTACAACAATTCGTCCCATTGTTCATGATCAATATAAAACTACCGAGACATCTCTCCGTGACTCGATCATACATACGGCGGCGTCGACGACATGTACAAGAGCTTATAACTCGGCGCACCCGATCTAATAATAGCCTTCGTTATTGTCGTTGTCCATGCATCGACTGCGCTCCGCAAAGCTCGGAGCTTATCAGCTAGTCGAGTTGAAGGCCACGACCTACGATGGACCGCTGCGACGACTGCGACTCGAAATTCATATATAATCTATAATTATAACCGATCGTCGTGCAATTGAAAAAAAAGGATAATGTACATAATCGTATTTACTGGCATTAAATCGATGCGTTATAGTGTGTACACATAATGTGCACTTGTATATATATAGCGGCGCGGCGCACTTGTCGCGAACAATCGCGATGACGTACGTAAGCGAGCGCACATAAAATCGCGCATACATTGCTTTAATATAATCGAGCAACAGCAGCAGCTCTCTCGCTTGGTCGTCGTCGCGAAGTAAAAAGTTTCACGGGCGCTCGCAGAGAGGCTGCGCGCACGGATGTAATATGTAATAAGCTCTCGGCTCGGCCCCCGAGACCTTGACTCTGAACTTGAAGCACCTGCTTCTGCCGCTGTGCTTCGTGACGAGTTTAACTGCGTATATGCGTTTTCTCCTCTTATCTTTCTCTCCTTTATTTATTTTTTTACTCAACTTATTTTCTTCTTTTTTTTTTTCGTAATATACCGAATTGGATCTTGCGCGGGTGATTGCTCGCTTTTGCGCTAGATACGAGCCTTGCACGCGAACGCCTTGAAATTGATAAAAGCGCGCGCGATCGTCGCAATTTCGAGCAATTTTTAGTCTATTTCTGGCCTCGCGCGATTGTTATAATTTAAGACCGAAAATTGCTGCGTCGATTCGCTGTCATAATCAAAAATTAAAAATAGCCACGCGGCGACTAATCAATTCGTGGAACGATTGCATACCTTTCGTTAGAATATGAATTATGCAATATTTAAATCGTTTTCAACGAAAATAGTTTTCATTTGTTTACACGTACAAGATAGGAGAGCAAAGAGACACGCGTGCAAAAAAGAACCAACGCACATCGGGGAATCGGAAATACTATACGAAACGTCATCGACGATCATTAATAGCCCATAGACGAATATTGAATAATCATTTACACGAGTTGAGAAAACGATCGCGCGTCAAAGAAATATTCGTATACGACACGGCAGCAGCTCTCGGTATATATTATAACATGTAAATCGTGTCGCGTGGCCTGTCCGCGACGTGTGACGTATATATATTTAGCGAATTCGACAAAATGCAAAGCAGCACGTTTAAATAAACATAAAACAAAAGATGCATCCAGTATTACG